AGGCTGTCATTCCCGGCAGTGCCGCTGGAGGAGCCGTTTCCCGGCTGTTGCCCGAAAGGCGTGGGGCGGGCCGGGCCGGTACCCCCGGTATTCCCGCTATCCCAGGTGTCATTCTCGGTACCCCAGGTGTCATTCCCGCTATCCCAGGTGTCATTCCCGCTATCCCAAGTGTCATTCCCGCTATCCCAGGCTGTCATTCCCCTCAGCACCGCTGGAGGAGCCGTTTCCCGGCCGCTTCCCGGAAGGTGCGGGCCGGGCCGGGCCGGTACCCCCGGTACTCCCGGTATTCCCGCTATCCCAGGCTGTCATTCCCGTGGTTGCCGCTGGAGGAGCCGTTTCCCCTCACGGCCCCGGAAGGCGCGGGGCGGGCCGGTATCCCAGGTGTCATTCCCGCTGTCCCAGGTGTCATTCCCGCTGTCCCGGGCTGTCATTCCCGCTGTCCCAGGTGTCATTCCCGCTGTCCCAGGTGTCATTCCCGCTGTCCCAGGTGTCATTCCCGCTATCCCAGGCTGTCATTCCCGCTGTCCCAGGTGTCATTCCCGCTATCCCAGGCTGTCATTCCCGTGGTTGCCGCTGGAGGAGCCGTTTCCCCTCACGGCCCCGGAAGGCGCGGGGCGGGCCGGGCCGGCGGAAGCGGCGCGGGCGGGGCCATGTCCGGGAGCGCCGAGCGGCGGCCGCAGTTGTGAGTGACGGGAATGGGAAAGGGAGCGGGACCGGGACACGGCCCCACAGGGACGGGATGGGAACGGGAACGGGACACCCCCACAAGGACGGGACCGGGACACGGCCCCACAGGGACGGGATGGGAACGGGAACGGGACACCCCCACAGGGACGGGACCGGGACACGGCCCCACAGGGACGGGATGGGAACGGGAACGGGACACCCCCACAAGGACGGGACCGGGACACGGCCCCACAGGGACGGGATGGGAACGGGAACGGGACACGACCCCACAGGGACCGGGATTGGGAACGGGAACGGGACACCCCCGCAGGGACCCCGGGGAGGGCCGGGCTGGGGGCGTCGTCCTGCCCGTCTCTGCCTGGACTTTGCCTGCTCGTCCCATCTCATCCCTTCCTTTCCCGTCCCTTCTCTTCTATCCTCATCTATTGTCATCCCTTCTCATCCCTCTCTTTCCTTTTCCTTTTCCTTTTCCCTTTTCCTTTTCCTTTTCCTTTTCCTTTTCCTTTTCCTTTCCTCCCCTCCCCTCCCCTTCATTTCATTTTTTTCCCTCTCTTTCGCTTTCCTTTACCCTCCCCGGCCCTGTCCCGGGGCCGTTCCCGGTTCGGGTCCGTTGTTCCCGTTGTTCGTTCGTGACCCATCGAGGGGCCGGGGGGTGGGATGTGCTGAAGCCACCGGGAAAACGGGAATGGGGATGTAAGAGATGCGAGAGAGAGGGATTGAGCCTTCCACACTTTACAGCCATGGAATCCTTGAGGCTGGAAAAGCCCTCTGGGACCATCGAGTCCAACCACCCCCAGCCCTGCCAAGGCCACCCCTGCCCGTGTCCCCAGGGGCCACATCCACAGGTTTTGAGGACACCTCCAGGGATGGGAGCTCCAGAACCCCCTGGGCAGCCCCTTCCCGTGCTTTACAGCCCTTTCCAGGCAGGAATTTCCCCAATATCCAACCTGACCCTCCCTGGCTCAGCCTGAGGCCGTTCCCTCTCCTCCTGTCCCTTGTTCCCTGGGAGCAGAGCCTGACCCCCCCCCCCGGCTCCCACCTCCTGTCAGGGAATTCCAGAGGGAGAAGGTCCCCCCTGATCCTCCTTTTCCCAGGCTGAGCCCCCCCAGCTCCCTCAGGGCTTCTCCAGCCCCTTCCCAGCTCCCTTCCCATCCCTGGACTCTCCAGGGATCCCTTTGGCACCAGCTGCTCATTCCCATATCCCACATCCCAATCCTGGGCTATCCCAGCCCCCCAGTGCCAAGGGCATTCCCAGCTCCAGGCCCACATTCCCAGTGCTCCAGGCCCACATTCCCAGCTTCCAGGCCCACATTCCCAGCGCTCCAGGCCCACATTCCCAGCACTCCAGGCCCACATTCCCAGCACTCCAGGCCCACATTCCCAGCACTCCAGGCCCACATTCCCAGCGCTCCAGGCCCACATTCCCAGCTCCAGGCCCCACATTCCCCGCTCCAGGCCCACATTCCCAGCGCTCCAGGCCCACATTCCCAGCGCTCTAGGCCCACATTTCCCAGCTCCAGGTCCACATTCCCAGCTCCAGGCCCACATTCCCAGCTCCAGGCCCACATTCCCAGCTCCAGGCCCACATTCCCAGCTCCAGGCCCACATTCCCAGCACTCCAGGCCCACATTCCCAGCTCCAGGCCCACATTCCCAGCTCCAGGCCCACATTCCCAGCGCTCCAGGCCCACATTCCCAGCTCCAGGCCCACATTCCCAGCCCACATTCCCAGCGCCACATTCCCAGCCTCCAGGCCCAGCTTCCATTCCCAGCGCTCCAGGCCCACATTTCCAGCTCAGTTCCAGGGCCCACATTCCCAGCTCTCCATTCCCAGCGCTCCAGGCCCACATTCCCAGCTCCAGGCCCACATTCCCAGCGCTCCAGGCCCACATTCCCAGCACTCCAGGCCCACAGTCCCAGCTCCAGGCCCACATTCCCAGCGCTCCAGGCCCACATTCCCAGTTCCAGGCCCACATTCCCAGCTCCAGGCCCACATTCCCAGCTCCAGCAGGGCCAGCTCAGGGGGGCCGGTGGCTCGGCCCTGCTTTGGCTCCCGATGGGTTTCCCTGTCCCTGGAATTCTCCAGGAGGTGTTTGGGGTGAGTTTGGGGCTGCCCTGGGATGGCCTTGGATTCTCCCGAGGGTTTTGTGGCTGGAGCAGGATCTGCCCATGGATTGAGCCCAGGGAGCCTTTCCTGGCACATCCTGGAATTCTCTGCTCCCAGGGAATATCCCACAGAGCTGGAGGAGTGTCCAGACACGATTATTGTTGAACACAAAGTGCTTTTTGTGCCATTGTTGGAAGCTTCTGGATTAGGAGAAAACCTCAGGGCATTGGGGAATTCTGGTCAGAATTCTTGTGGATTCAACATCCACATCCCGATGTCCTTTGGATAATAATAATAATAAAAAATTATTTTTATTAAGTAGGAATATTAAAAACTATTAGTAATTATAACAGTAATTATAGTAATTATACATAAAACAACCTCAATAATAATTATAGTATTATTAGTGATAATTATTAATAAATTTCAAATGGTTTTATTAATTATTAATTATTAATTATTTTATTACAATATTCAACCAATATGTGGAATGGATACAGCTATATAAAATAAATATATAAATAAATATAATATAAGTATATAGTTACATCATCATCATCATTATTATTATTATTACTATTATTATTATTATTGTTATTATTGTTATTATTATTACTACTACAATATTCAGCCAATCCTTGGATTGGATACACTTTTATAAAATAATTAGATACAAACTCCAATCCACTAATTCCACTTTGTCCCTGGGGGTGCTTTTCCAATTTACAATAAATGTTATTTTGCCTCTTCCTGGATCCAACTGGTCCCAGTCAAATAAACCCTGGTGGTTCCTCTGGAGTGGCTCAAATTCCTGATAATTTATTCCCATCCATGGAAGGCGAAAGTTGGGTCTGAACCAACATCTGGCAGGGGGAGAAGGGACCCGTTTTTCCAGGAGGGATCATTTGTTCTGGCAACTCTGCAGGAAAATTGCAATTTGTGCCAGGTTCTCTTTAATCTGATTTATTTTTGGTGACACAGCTGGGATTTCTCTGGGATTTCACATCCTGGTGGGTTGGATTTGGTGATTGAATTTATTCAGGGTAAATCAATGGTTCTTATTTCCTGGAAATATCCCAAAATATGTTTGTTAATGAACCACGAGGGACAGAAAATGGAAGTTTAAATGCTCAGTATTTTGTGTTTCGTGCTGCTTTAGTGAGAGGGATGAACAACAGGAGGAGTTTAGGCAATAAAATGGGTGAAAACAGGAATTCTGTGGAGCTGAGGGAGGGGAAGGAGGATGAAGAGGAGAATGAAAACTCCAGGAATGATGGGAAACATCCTCAGGGACAACTTGGCATAAAACAGAATTCCTGTTATTATTTTTGTCTTAGGAAAAGGAATTAACTTGATCTTAAACCCAATGGATCCAATCTGATAATCCCCCTAAAAAGGGGATCCAAGCGGAATTTTTTTTACTCTGCTGAAGGGATTCTTAAAGATCCATTAATTCAGATTGACAGTGGCCTGAAAACTGGAGTAAAATAACTTTTAACTCTCCTCTTCATCACTCAAAAAGTGGGTGAAAATGGTGAAAATGCCATATTTTTATTGTGGTAACCTGAAACCTGGTGATTGCTTTGTGTTTCCTGGGAAAGCCTTTCTGGTGTGAGGTTGTTACAACGAAACATTTTCCGTTTAAACGCCCCAAAAATGTTGGGAATGGTCCTTCCCTTCCTCTTCTGGAGAGGTTCAAGTGGGAATTCCACTCCTCAGGATCTCAGGGAACATTTCCCTCCCTTCTCTCTTGTGTTTTGGGTTTTTTTGTGGTTCTCCAGTGCCCGAGGTCCGAGCACAAACCCCGTGATTTCCCAGACAGTTGCCGTTCTGGGCTTTCTCTCTCTTTTCCACGGACACACAAAAGCTCAGAGTTTCCTTCTGCAGTGCTGGGGCTCATCAAACCCCCCAAAAATTCTGCAGTCCCTCTTTGTGGCGCGGTCAATCCCAGTTTTTGGAGCCCCTTGGAGGTGAAGTGGCTCCGGGTGGGGCCGTGGGGAGCGCTGGGATCCCGCTCAAGATCCTGCCCTGGAAATGCTGCTCTGCTCCTCCCTCCCTGCTTTCCTCACTGCCCCCTCTGATCTCCTCCTCCCTCCTGCCCACAGTTAGAGGTGTCCCCTTGCCTTGACAGGTGGAGGAAGGAGGTTTTCCTGCCCCTTGGTGCCCCTTTGCAGCCCTAGGTAGTTGGGGTGGAGGTAAGTGCCTCTTTGCTCTCTACCAGACCAGCAGGTTCCCTGGGACTCTGCTGGAAAATCCCTCTGGGATTATCAGGGTGTTGATCCTCACTGATGGAGGGGGAGTCGAGGCTGTGGATCGTGGGGTTGTGAAGGAATTCCTGGGAGATCCAGAGCACAGGACACAAAGTGCTGCCCAGGAGCTGCTGATCTTGCTGACATTCATTGTCAGCCGTGCTGGGAGGTTCCAAGTGCTCCCAAAATCCCCTTTTTCTGCTTTCCTTGTGTTCAGCCACACTGGGATTTCTGCCTGCTCTGTGTCTGAGCCAAACTCCTGCTGTCAGTGCTGCTCCTTCTCACCTCTCACTTCTGAGTCCAGAACATCCAGCTCCATTTTCTTCTCCCAGCTTCCCCCAGAACCACGGGATCTGCTTCCCCTTCTTTAAGTTTTTGGAGGGTGAAAGACAGATCTGATCCTTCATGGAAGAGTCTCCTTTCTCACACATTGTGCCCCAGAAATGAGGCTCTGGACCAAAATATTGGGTGTGGGGGTTAATTCCAAGGTCACAGGGAGGGAGGTTCTGGTTGGACACGCAGTGGGGGGTGTTTGGTCATCCCACAAGACCCCCGGGCTGCAGCAGGAGCTGTCCAGCCTTGGGATGAACATCCCTGACACTTGGTGGGAAAAGGCAAAGCCTTGACTGACTCCTGGAGCAGATCCAGCAGTGGGACACAGGATGGAGACCTCCCAGGCACTGTTCCAAGCCCAAAGGACAGGGAAAAAGCTATTCCAGAGCTCCCTGCCAGGGAGGCAGAAACAGCCCTGGTGTCACCCGGGTGGGGCCGGGACTGATCCCAAATCCGTGTTCTCCGGGAGTTCATTGGTGTGGGAACTCTGTGGGGTGGAGCTGATGCTCTTGGTGACTCCAGGTGGGGTTGGCAGCTCTGCCCTTTAATCCTTCTGGATCTATCAGGACCAGGAAACCAGCTCCCAGTGCTTTGGTCCCTTCTCTCTCCACAAGGGCGGCTCTGTTGGCTCATAGTGCTCTGGGTGTGGGATTGTCCTCCCGAGAGTCCAGGAGCTCCTGAGGGAGGTCCTGCATTCAGGAAAACCCCCTTGGGGTGGGAAAGGTTCTCTGTCTTGCCATGGACTCCAAAATCCTGGCATTTGAAGCAGTCCCACCTTGACCCGTGTTCTGACAAGACTCTTGGTTTGAGTCCCTTCACCTGCATAAAATCTCTGTTTCCTCTCCCGGTGTCCCTGGTGCTATTTCCATGTCTTTCTCCTCATTTTTGAAGCCTTTTCCTTCCCAGACTGAGCCTCCTGTCCTCAAAAATGTTCAAAACCTGGTGGCATTTGAAGGTTTTCCATCTCTTTGAGGATGAACCACCTTTGATTTCTGTGTCTCGAGGATGAGCAACGCGGGTGCGGGAGTTGGTCACCTCCACCCTGTCCCACAAAGTAAATGTGTCCTGCTTCTGAATTCCTGGTTTTTTTGTGTGTGCCTGAAGTAATTTCTGCTTCCATCTTGCCATGCAACTAATCTGCCATGTGGTTTCCTGGAGCTTTCCTGCAATTTTGGTTCCCAGCACTGCAAGGGGATATGAACAGTAACAGGGAGACAGGAGAGGAGGCGACGTTTTCATGTTCAGAGTAATTCCTTGTGAGGGGAAGAGGAGGATAACGTGAGGTGTTTCCTTGGGCCTTTTCAGATATTTTTAAGCTGAAAAAGATGCCATTTCTGGCTGCTGGGGGGGCAGGAGTTGGGCAGTGTCTCCAGCCAGTCTGTGGTGGTGGGAGATGCAAACCTGGAATGTTCCGTGGGCAGGGCAGGAGGAAGCTCCTGAAGCTCCTGAGGCTCCTGAAGCTCCCAAAGCTCAGCTCTGTCTGGTTCCTGGGGTGGCCCTGGGGGTGCAGGTCCCTGCTGCTGCTGAGTTGAAGTGTCTGTGCTGTGTTCACTCACCCTGCCTCTCATTTCTCTCTCTCTCCCCTCTCTTTGTCAAGCATCGCAGGCTGCATGTACCGAGTCCTTCAGACCACGGGACCAGATGGAAAAAACCTCCTGAAATTACTCCCCATTTCCAAACCTTCGGGAAGCTTTCTGCCGCTAGTTCAGGCTCCAGCCATGCCAAATAGCCCTGCAGGGAACATCTCCACCCCTGTCCATCTTACCTTTAAGACCCAGCTCGGCAGTTCCGCTGCACCTTCATCCGTTAAGATCTTCCAGTCTCCTAATCCCGGGAAGATCATTCTTACGAGGACATTAGACAAGCAGGAGGGTGTCAGGGCAGATTCTGAGAAGGAGGGCTTGGTTCCCGGTGCCAGTGTGCAGGGCAGGGGCTCTGTGCAGGACATGGCCGTGCCCGGCTCCTCGCCCCAGAGCGGCACAGCCTACATGGTGGTCAACACAAACCCTCTCCCAGCACAGAACCCCCGCAAGCCCCCGGTGCTGCCCTCTGGCCACCACCTGCAGATCCCGGCTGACGCCGAGGTGAAGTCTGTCCCGGCGTCCCTGCTGCCCCCGGCCATCCAGCAGAAAATCCTGGCGGCCGCAGCCACCTCTGCGTCCGACGGCTCCAAGACACCGACGGTGATTTATGTGTCCCCCGTGAACACCGTGAAGACCCCCCAGGCCCTCTCCAAGCGGATGCAGGCCTTGTGCCCCCGGAGCAGCCCCGAGGCTCCCAGAGCCCTGCTGTTGGCAGCAGCCCCAGAGGGGGCCGGTGCTGGCCCGGCCGAGGGCCCGCGGCGCCACCAGACCCCCATGAAGTGGATCGTGCAGGAGGCCACTCCGCTCACCCCGTGCCTCATCCCCGTGAAATCCTCCAACAATGTGGCTTCCAAGATCCTGAAAACCCTGTCGGACACCAAGAACCTGGGAGTGAGCTCTGCCAACGTCCTGCCCCTGTGCCCCAGCGGGCCTGGGGCCGGCCAGGCCAAGCTGACGCCGCTGAAGGACAACGCCCTGGTCATGTACAACGGGAAGGTCTATCTGCTGGCCAGGAGGGGCTCTGACATCCTGGCAGCCCAGGCTGAGAGACAAACCCCCTCCTCTCCTGAGCCCTCACTCAGAAAGGAGACGCCCCAGCGTGTGGACTCCTCTGCTGTCAACCAGATCACCAGCAAAGTGGTCAACCTGGTGCTGTCCAAGAGCAGAGGGGTGCTGCTGGCCCAGAAGGACCCAAACCCACGGGCAGACCCCCAACATTCCTCCCCAAATGACTCCAGAGCTGCCCCTGTGGCCCCGGTGCCGACCGGTGCTGCCCAGCAGGATCCTGGGGCCATCCAGGGCCATCCCTGCCCTGCTCCACCCATGGGAGACACCCCGGGCCCGGCTGGGGGGGCACAGGGGCACCATGGCAGGGACAGGAGTCACCCCTCGCCTGGGGCAGCGGGGGCTGTGTCACCCCAGGGGGAGCAGGAACGGGCTCACAGTGCAGACTGGCCCAAGGTAATTTAATTAATTACCAATTAAACACCCCCCCTCAGTCTCTGGGGGGGTTTGAGGTGACAAAATGGCCCTTGAGGAGTTTGTGGATTTCTGTCCCCAGGGATCCCGACCTGGAGTTGGTTCTGGTCCATAAATGGTCTTTGTTTTCCCCACTGAGGTTGAACTGTGCAAGTGAGAAATGCAGGAAGGAGAGGAAGGGGCCCAGCAAAGATGGGTTTTATCCCCTCCTGGGATAAATTGTCGGGATCTGGAGCTCCAGGGAGGCTGGTGGTGACTGGAGCTCTCCAAGGTGGATCCACACCCGTTCCCAGCACAGCTTTGGGCGGCAGGTGGGATGTGAGGTGGAGAAGGAGAAGTTTGCAGCTTCCCGGGAGGAAAACGAGCTGGAAGAGCAGAGTTTGTGCTCCTGGCAGGGCACAGGCAGGTCCAGGCTCCTTCCTCCCATGGACCCACCTCCTTTTTGGCTTGTTCCTCACCTGAGAAATGGTTGAAATCCAGTTTATTTCTGCATTTCCTTTCATGTCAGGGAGGAACAGCTGAGCAAAGGTGCTGCTTTCAGCTTCTACATTTGCCGAGCCCTGGGTTGTAAAGAGCAGAGGCACTGCCTGCTCCTCCCTCCTCCTCCTCTGGCACTTGGAAGGTGTAGAACAAGGAATTCTCTTGTTGCTCCTCTGATTTCTGTGCTTGCTGGTTGGACTGGATGCCTTCTGGATGTTCCATGATGGATTTTCCTTGTTTTGGGGGGGTGTTAAAATGGGGGTTTAAGTAATTAATGAGTGTTAGACCTGTGATAATGAATATAATTTACCAAAATGATTCTCTGTGCTAAATGAGGCTCTTGGAGGGGGGCAGACAAAGCCAATGTTCTCCTCTCCTTCCATCACCTCTTTTCCCATATTTCTGTATTTTATCTATTTTTATGGAGAGAAGGGGAGAGCGAGAGAGGGACTGATGGTTCTCTCACTGCTTCTGTGTTTCAGATCCGGGGGGAACACATGGATTCCCTGGGAGAGCTGGAAACACAACCCCCAAAGCAGCCCCACTGGAAGCAGTACTTGGAATTAAGGAAAAAATTTGGGCTCACCAAGGAGGAGAGAGTTTACCTGAGGAGAATCCCACTGATCCAGGACTCCTGGGAGAATCCAGAGGAAAGGGGCTCTTCCAGTGACAGCCTGGAAAGGAGAAGCGATTCCTGCAGCTCATCCTCCCTGGATGTGGAAATAGGGAACTGCCTGCAGGAATATGTTCCAGAGGAAAAGGTACCTGGGAATCTTTTCAGGGCTAAAAACCCTTGGGAAGGCGTTGCCAGGGCAGGGCTGGGGGTTGTTGGGAGCCTCCCACCCCTGGATTCACCAGGAATCATTGGGACAGTGGTTCCTAGGACTTGTTTGGGGTTTCTGAGCACCACCTGAGTATCTTTGTGCTCATTTTTGGGCTTCACCGAGGGAATTTGGGCAACAAATGGTTTGGGGGAGTTTGGCCTCACTGGTGGTGGCTGGACAGTGCCAGGGATGGTCCTGGTGGGAATTGGGGCCTCTGTGTCCTGGTTTGTGTTTAACCTTGTGTTTGTCTAGCAGTGCAGGGGGGACAAACAGAGGGATGGAAGGATAATTTTGTGATTAACATCGTTTATAATTAATTAAAAATCATATCAGTTGAGTTTGAGATCAGCCAAGTGCCATTATCTCAAGGCTGTGGGTTTATTAGAACTAAATTAGAACTAATTTATTAAATTAAATTCACTCATGGACCTGCCCAGCCTTCAGAGCTACAAATCCTTATAAACTTTGTCCTTTGTCACTGGGAGAACTTGGCTGGATGTTCTTGGAAGGGGCAACTTCCCTCCTAATGCGTGGGAAGGATTTTATCCATCCAGAGTTCAGCCAGTGTCCTGCATTTCCTTTTGTGGGACCCTGCCTGACCCAACCAAAGCTTCTCTCAGGTTTTGCTCATTCTGTGCTAAAATTGAGCAGATTTAAAGCTGCTCTTAAGATTAAACCCATCCCTGGGAGTGTCCAAGGCCACTTGGAGCAACCTGGGATAGTGGGAGGTGTCCCTGCCCATGGCAGGGGATGTAACTGGATGGGCTTTAAGGTGTCTCCCAACCCAACCCGTTCCATAATTCTGTGATTTAAATAGTGGGATATCTGAGAGGAATTTCCCCTGGTCATGGACATCTCCTGGGGTCAAGCTTTTTGGAAATTTAAACATGGAGAATTCTGGTACATTTGGAATTTTCCCATCAGATCAGGAAGTTTTTGTCTTGCTCTTGTGTCAAAGAACTTGAGCAGCCACAGGGGATGAAGGGCAGGCCCAGCCCAGGCGGGTGTGCAGTGCCCTTCCCCTTCCAGGAGGGAATTGAGTGGTCTGGAATTTTTAACCGGGAATCTTTGCCAGAAAAGCACAGAGACAGAAACGTGTCCCTTTTCTCTGTTCCCGCCCGTGCAGATCATCGCGGATCTGGAGGAGGATCTGACCAGGAAAAGGAAAATCAGATCCTCCCCCCTGTCGGACAGCGGGAAGAGGAGGAGAAACTCCTCCAGATCCTCCACAAGCCCAAGTTCAGAAACCACCAATGCACTTCCCAGGAGCGTTTCACCCCCTCCAGCCTCCCCGGAGCCGAGCATTCCCACGGGATCCTCCGGAGCTTCCCAAGGGAGGGACTCGGAGCCAGGGACACCCCCGGCGGGCAGCGCCGGCACGGACTCGGAGATCCCAGAGCTGGTGGCTCCCGGAGGGGCTCCCTCCCTTCTGGAAGGTTCCTTCCGGGACGACGCTTTCCCGGCGGCTCCCCCGGACCTGGACGAGACGATCCGGGACGAGAAGATCAAGCGGCTGAAGCAGCTCCTGCGGGAGAGGGAGGCGGCGCTGGAGGAGATGAGGAGGGAGATGCAGCAGAGCTGAGACCCCCCCGGGCCCCCTTTCCTCTGCCAGGGAGAAACCCCCGATGGAATAAGCAGCCTCATGAATTCCAGGCTGTGGGTGTGTTTGGAATTCCGTGTGGAATGCCGGGAATGGGAGACTTGGAGCATCTGATCCCGCCCTGGGACATGGCCCAGCACGGGCAGCGGAGTTTCCATCAGCACAGGGCCAGGTTTGGGGCTGGCAAAGGAATTGTGCAATCCCAGGGCCTGGTGCAGGCTGGGAAGCCCCTGGGAAGCTGTGGATGTGCTTTGGGTTGTTCTCCTCAAATGCATGAGAACTTTTTTGGTGAATCCCTGGGAACTTTTTTGTGAACCCTTAAGAACTTTTTCAGTGAATCCCTGGGAACTCATTTTGTGAATCCCTGAGAACAGTTGTCAGGCAGAAGGCTGTGAGCGCTCCATGGGTTACTGGATGTATTTAAGGGATGTGGGAATGGGACTGTCAGGCAGTGACAGTGCAGATATTTATACAAACCCTGGAGAAGGAGCCCTGGCTCTCCCTGTGGTTCCTGTGAGCCTTTATAAGGCCTTGGCCAGCTGTGCAATGTGGGGCTTTGCCCAGTTGGGAGGGTGGGCTATGGGTTTTTTAACCAGAACTCTCTCAGTAATAATTTCTTCAGCCCCAGGTGGTGTCTGTAACATCCCTGGTGCTGTCTCTGGATTTGTTGTTCCTGGACGTGGCTTGTGCCACCCCCAGCTGGTTGGTGTGTGGGGTGGGATGACTTTGGACCCCCACCCTCTCTTGTCCGTGTCTTTGGCTCCTGCAGCTCCTCCTGCAGCTCCTCCCTCTCTCTGACAACAATTAAGAACTTTTTATTTTTTCCCAGCAGAATTTGTCCCTGTTTTTTTTTCCCTTTGTCCATTTCTGGTTTATGTTGAACACCAACCCCTGCTGGTTCCTCTCCCTGCCAGGTCGTTGGTCACCGGGTTTGTGTTTTGTTCTCGTTCTTGTTTTCTGCGTTTTAATCCAATTTTCACCCACAGGGTGTTGGTGGAGGGTGTTGCTGTGGAGGTGGGTCCTGGAGAGCTCTGCCAGCCCCATCTTCCCTGATTTTTGTGAGTCTTGACAGCGGGAAAAACTCCAGTGGATTTAGAGAGGGAAGGAAAAGGAAGTCCCTGCTCTGAAGAATCCCAGGTTTGGGTTGGAAGGGACCTTGAAGATCATTTCAAGGTGGGCAGGGACACCTTCCACTGGACCAGACTGAGGTCCAGCCTGGCCTTGGACACTTCCAGGGATGGGAGAGCTTGGATAGAAAAGCAGGCATGGAGTGGAGGGTGAGGGAGGAAGGTGAGTGATGGAAACAAACCCTTGGAGTTGAGGTTGAGCTGCTCTGTGAGGGAGAAGTGGTGGGGCCAGCAGGTCAGGGCATCCACGGGGTCATCGTGTGTGCAGAGAGAGTTTTGGGGCAGAAATCCCATAGTTGGGCACAGGAAAGCAGATTAATTAAACACTTAATGAAGGGCTGGAGAGAGAAGGATGTGGCTGAATTGGACAGTCAAGGGTTGAGGGAGGGACCAGGGGTTGGACTCTGATCCCAACCCGGGATATTCCATAGTTCTGTGGCCACCACAGGTGTGGGACCCACAGTGGTAAATGTGCAAAGCAAAGGGGACAATTCCACGGGATTTGGGGGAAAATGTGGGGTTTTGAGCAGCCAGTGAGGACAATTCCTGTCTGTTGTTCCCAGGACAGGTGGGAGAGGCCCAGGTTTGGCCAAGGCTGTCAGAGATGAGTCAGCAGTTCTGTGGGAAAGGTGGGAATGCTCCCTCTGTGGTTGACCTTGGCCCATCCCAGGCTGCCTCCACGCTCCCCTCCCATGGGATGGGGGGAAGGACAAACCCATGGAGCTGGGGCTTGAGCCAAAGGCACTTTGGAAAAACCAAATCAGGAATTGGATCCCTGTGCTGTCAACGGGCAGAGGATTGGCCACTTCCAGGCTCTCCATGTGTGTGATGTTAAATTGGGAAGAGAAATCCTGGGACCGAAAACGTCGCTGCCTCCTCCTGCTGCCATTGGGCTTTTATTGCTGAGCAGGACCTCGGATGGCCTGGAAAATCCCTGGGATCAGGCTGGGAAAATGGTCCTGGCTGTGTCCATCTCAGCTTTGTGTCCATCCCCAACTTCTGGTCCAGTCCCAACTTGTCCATCCCTGACTTCTTGTTCTTTCCCAACTTCTTGTGCATTCCCAACTTCTGGTCCAGTCCCAACTTGTCCATCCCTGACTTCTTGTTCTTTCCCAGCTTCTTGTGCATTCCCAACTTCTGGTCCGTTCCCAACTTCTTGTCCATCCCCAGATTCTTGTTCATCCCCAACTTATTGTTCTTTCCCTACTTCTTGTTCAGTCCCAACTTTTTGTTCATCCCCAACTTCTCATCCATTCCCAGCTTGTCCACCCACTTTCTGGTCCATCCCGAGTCCTGGTCTGTCCCCAGCCCGCTCTGGGGTCACACAGTGGGAGGAGGAGGAATCCTGGATGTCCCGTGGCTGCTCCAAACACGGGGATGTCACTCCCACATCCCAGACACAGTTTTTGGGATGCTGGAAGGACACCGACTCCATCCCACAGGATGTGAAGAGGTGGGAACAGCCTCGTGAAGAGGAAGGAGGTGGAAGCAGCCTCATGTCTGGTGCCTTCTGACAAACGTCTTCCCCCTGTTTTCCAAGATCTCCAAAGAAATTTAATGAAGCGAAGATCTCCTTCCCTCTCCTTTCCCTGGAGGATTCCAGCACTGACATTCCACAACATCTGTCTCCCAGAAGCTCTTCTGCCCAACTTGAGGGGTCCATTGGCCCGAGTTTTCCCTAAAATGCTGAAAACTGGGAGAAGAATCCTCCCTGTGAGGTTGGGATGGAACGTGGCCAGTAGGATTTGGTGGAAAAAAAGTGAATGGGCTGTTTCCAATCCGATCCTGGAAAACCCCTGGTGCAGATCAGAAGGACAAAGCGAAGCCAAGTGTGGAAGAGATAGAGGAGCCTTCTTGGAATGACATCCATGCAATTTGGGAGAGTCACTGAGAGCCAGGAGAAGCCCCTCTGAGGGGGAAAAGTTGTTCCAACAGGAGGAAAGGGGCTCCCAAGAGCCAAGGAAAGACCTGGAGGTTGTTGGAGCTGCTCCTCACCCGGACTCATTGTCTGCAGCACGGGTTTGGTTTTCCTGCCCTTGTTCATCCCTGGGCTCCCAGGATCCGTGAGGAGTTTCCAGCAGGAACAGGAGTTTTGGGAATGCTGGCTGTGCCCCCGCAGGGACAGTCCCTGGCGGCCGGAGGTGCTGCAGTTCCAAACTGGGACAACTCCAAGTACTGATGAAATCCATGGATTTAGGCCATGAATTAAAACTGTTCCCTTGAGCAAATACTCTGGAAGAATCCGTGGAAAACCTTTTGGGAGTTTCGGGTCCCAAGAGCAGAGGGGGCAGCAGGGGCTGGACAGGACAGGCTGGAGGGCAAAGCTGGGGCTGGGCCAGGCCCAAGGTCACCCGAGCTGGGCAGGACTGGCCTGGTGTCCCCGCTCAGCTGGGGGCAACCCCCCACAGCCCTTTCCAAGGCCTGTCCTAGACATTTGTGCACCCAGAGGATCGTTCAGGTTGGAAAAGACCCTCCAGAGGATCAAATCCCACCGGAAACCTGACACAGGCAAGCCCAGCACTGAACCAGACACAGGCACTGGGAGCAACTGGGAGTGGCTTTTGGGGTCTGTGCAGGACACCTGACCAGGAAAACCAGGAAAACCCCCTGGAGGAGGCCCTGGACAGGCAGGAGCCACCAGTGTCATGTCCACAAACCCCCTCAAGAGGGGCTTCACCCACCCAGCACAGAGGGGCGGAATCGACCCGGGAGGTTCTGGCATGTGTCGATGGGGATAAATTCCCTCTCCAGGAGGTGGAGGAGCCAACAAGGAGCAAGGGCTGTGCTGGACCTCGTGCTCACCCCCAGGAGGGGCTGAGGGAACGTGGAACGGTGGAGTTGGAGCTCCTGGGACAGCGAGGAGGGCACAGCAAACCCTGCCCCGGGCTCTGGGAGAGCAGAGTTTGGCCTCTGCAGGGATCTGCCAGGCAGAGTCCCCTGGGACAAAACCCTGCAGGGAAGAGAAGCCCAAGGTTGACACTTGAGTGTCACCTCCAGGCTTGGGAGTGACGCAGCCCAAGGAGGAGGAAGTTGGACAAAAACGCCCGGGAGGGTGAACAAGGGGCTCCTGGACAAACTCCAGCAGGAAAATTAAGCCTCCAGAGGGTGAAAGGAAGGACAGGCAGCCCAGGAGGAGAACAGAGAGCTGGGCTGAGCAGGCAGGGCTAGGTCAGGAGAGGTGGAGCTCTGGTGGAGTTGAACCTGGCTTGGGACATCAAGGCAACAGAAAAGCTTCTGTTGGTGGCAAGAGGAAGACTGGGGAAGAGGAAGACTTGTCCTTCCTCTAGGAGGAAACAGGAGACCTGGTTCCCCAGGGCCTGGAGGAGGCTGAGGGTCTCCAGGGTGTTTGTGCCTCAGCCCTCCCCAGCTCCAGTGCAGGACTGGCAGAAGGAAGGACCATCCACAGCAGGAGAATCCCAGAATCCTGGAGGTTGGAAAAGCCCTCCAGGACCATCGAGTCCAACCTGTGACCATCCCCACCTTGTCCCCCAGCCCAGAGCACTGAGTGCCACGTCCAGGCATTCCTACAGGGGTGGGGACTCCAAACCTCCCTGGGCAGCCCCTGCCAAGGCCTGACCACCCTTTCCAGGAAGAAATTCCTCCTGATGTCCAACCTGACCCTCCCCTGGCTCAGCCTGAGGCCGTTCCCTCTCCTCCTGTCCCTTGTTCCCTGGGAGCAGAGCCTGACCCCCCCACCAGCTCTCCCCTCCTGTCAGGGAGTTCTGGAGGGAGAAGGTCCCCCCTGAGCCTCCTTTTCCCAGGCTGAGCCCCCCCAGCTCCCTGAGTTCTCCTGCTGCTCCAGACCCTTCCCCAGCTGGACCCCTTCCCATTCCTGGACTTGAGAAGATCAGAGAGACCATCTGAGGATCCTGAAGGTGCCCAAGTCCATGGGACCTGCTCAGCTGCTTCCCAGGATCTCGAGGGAGATGGTGGAAGTGCCTCCTCACTCCCCATCGTATCTGAGGAGTTGGGGCAGTCTGAGAAGTTCCCACAGATGGGAAAAGGGGAAATTTGGCCCCATTTTTAAAAAGAAGGAAGAACCAGGGCACTCCAGGGCAATGAGTCTCACGGTGGTGCCTGGCAAGGTCATGGAGCAGATCCTTCTGGAAGCTGCACATGGAAGATGAGGAGGTGGTTGGTGACAGCCAACCTGGCTGCTCTGAGGGCAAATTGTGCCTGAAATGCTCTCGTGGTGTCACCTGGGGGTGACAGTGCTGGGGGTGAGGAGAGAACAATGACACCATTCCCTGGGCTGGGGCTCAGCACGTGGCACTGTCCCTGTGACACTGTCCCTGTGACACTGCCCCACGTGACACCGCCCCACATGACTCTGTCCCTCGTGACTCTGTCCCCATGACACTCCTCTCCGAGCTGCAGACACGGATCTGGTGGCTGGAGCTCCGTGGGTGAGGACCTGGCTGGATGGGGACACTCAGAGCTGTGCCCGTGGCTCGATGCCCACGTGGAGCCTGGGGACCAGCGGCTCCTCAGGGCTCAGTGTGGGACTGGAGCAGTTCAACCTTCGTTGGGGTCACGGACAGTGATTGAGACACCTCAGGAGGAGCTGATGGCACCGAGCTCTGCGTGGGGTCACACCACAGAGAAGGAATGGGACACCCAGAGGGACCCGGACAGGCAGGAGAGGTGGGACCATGCCAACCTCATGAAGTTCAGTGAGATCAAGCACAAGATCCTTCCCCGAGCTGGAGCAGCTCCAGGCACAAATTCAGGCTGGGGATGAAGGGATTGGGAGCAGCCCCAGAGAGAAGGACCTGGGGTGTGGGGGGACAAGGAGCTCAACGTGAGAAGCTCCATCAGTGGACAAGGGAAGGGCCACAGGTGTCGTTTGTCTGGACTTCCATAAATGTTTGACTTGCACAGACCCAAACACCTCCTGTCTGAACTGGAGAGAGGGGGATTCCGTGGTGGATTGTCCCATCCAGAGGGAAGTGGTCACTCAGAGTCCTGAAGGACAGCAGTGACAGCGCTGCCCTCGGGGTCCATCCTGGGCCCAGGGGGGTCTCACATCGTCCCTGAGGACACAGAGGGGTCGGGGCCCCCGGCAGGGCTCAGCTCACCCGAGCTGGGGGTGCAGGGACACCCTGAGGGACGGGGCCACCCCGAGGGACCTGGACCAGCTCCAGGAGCGGCCCCTGGGATCTCAGGAGGTTTCACAAGGGCTGGTGCTGCCCCTGGGTCAGGGCAACCCCCGGGGATCCATCCAGGCTGGGAATGAGCAGCTGGAGCAGCCCTGGGGAGAAGGACCCGGGGGGCTGGTGGGGGAGAGGCTGGACATGATCCCATGCCCTGGGCTGATCCCACAGGGATCGTGGGCAGTGGGGAGGGGGGATCCTGCCCCTCTGCCCCCTCAGGTGAGACCCTCCCCTGCACCAAAAGGACGTGGAGCTGCTGGAGCAAGTCCAGAGGAGGCCACAGAGATGATCCAAGGGCTGGAAAACTTGTCCTGTGAGGAAAGGCTGAGAGTTGGGATTGTTGGAGAAGAGAAGCTTTGGGATGACCCCATTGTGGCCTCCCAGGGCCTGAGGGGACCAACAAGAACCTTGGAGAGGGGCTGGGGACAAGGGATGGAGGGAAGGACACAGGGAGTGGCTTCAAACTGCCAGAGGGCAGGGAAGGAATTCTTGGCTGGGAAGGTGGGGAGGGGCTGGGATGGAATTCCCAGAGAAGCTTTGACTGCTCCACCCCTGGAAGTGTCCAAGGCCAGGTTGGAGCCACCTGGGACAGTGGGAGGTGACAGGGGTGGAACTAGAAGGGCTTCCAGGTCCCTCCCAACCCCAACCATTCCATGATCCCGTGAAACTTGGAGCAGGTCCTGGCTCAGCCCCATGGGGGGCAGGGCAGGGGCTGGAGGCTCCTGCATCCAGGGGGTGGGGGCTGAGGGGGAGTGATGAGGACACAGAGCTCGTTATTCCCTTCATTTAATGCTCACTGAGGCAGAAATGTCAGGACCAGGCCCGGCTCCGGCAGGTCGGGCACGGTTGGGGGGGAACAGGACTCTGGCTTGGGACGGCAGAAATGCTGGGAAGGACCAACTGCTGCTGCTGCTGCAGAAATTCCTGAGTTCCAGGAGCTCCGTCAGACGCTCCCTGGGAAGAGCAGCCCCTGCTCCTCGGCCCCGGAGCCCGGGGGGAGGACGTGGTGGAGGGTCCGTCCCTGTAGAGTCACCACAGCCCCCAGGGACACCTTCTGGGGGAATTCAGGGAATTCTGGTCAGGGCCTCACCCCTGCCCCAGAGATTCCCTGCACTGGGAATTCTGGTCAGTGCCTCATCTCACACTGGGAATTCCAGTCAGTGATCCCCCTGCACTGGGAATTCCAGTCAGTGCCTCCCCTAACTGGGAATTCCGGTCAGTCAAAACCAGTTAAAGCCAGTTAAAGCCAGTTAAAACCAGTTGATGCCAGTTGGAACCAGTTGGAACAGTCAAAGTAAATTAAAGCCAGTTAAAATCAGTTAAAGGCATTTGGAGCCAGTTGAAGCCAGTTAAAGTCAGTCAAAACCAGTTAAAACCAGCTGAGGCAGTTGAAGCCAGTTAGAGCCAGCTGGAGCCAGCTGAGGTCAGTTAAACCCAGCCCAGGCCAGTGTGGTGCTGGTCATGGGAGCAGAGCCGGGATAGAGCTGGGGTTCCCTCCATGGATCCTCCCTGGATCCCACAGGGATCCTCCAGCCTGGCACGGCCCCACGCTGGCTCAGGGCTGGACTCCGTCACCTCAAAGGTCTCCAGCCCAGAGGATTCCCCAAAATCTGATCTAAGTTGGGCATAATTTGGCCCCACCTTGGACCCAAACCCATCCCTGCCCCCTGCCAGGCGGGGCAGGAGCAGCAGCTCCGTGAATTCCCGTTACCTGGAAGTCCCGGATGTAGGTGAGGAAGAAGCTGAGGAAGGAGAAGGCCAAGGACCACTCAGAGACAGTGCTGACCATGTGCAGGGGGTATCCCTGTGGGGGAGAGGGGGAATCGCTGGGAAAAGCTGCTCTGGGAGCTGCTGTGACACAAAATGCCTCGAGACATCCCACGGGACATCCCACATCCCACTGGAGAACACAATTCCTTAGAGCCTCCAGGAATGAAGAGTGGGAATGGCCAGGAAAACCCTGGGATGGCACCCACAGGGAATTTAACACCTGAAGGCTCAATCCAGAGCTGGGCCTGAGCAACAAACCCTCTGGCTCTGGGAACCGGAGGGATTGATTGGAGTTTACAGTTGGAGCTCCAACTGGTTTGGGATTGATTTAAAGTCACACTTGGAGCTCCAAGTGTTTTGTGGGAGCAGAACTTCAGCGAGTTCTGGCACAGGTTGTCCAGAGAGGTGGTTGTGGAATCTCCATCCCTGGAACTGCCCAAGGCCAGGTTGGAACAACCTGCTCTATGGGAAGCGTGCCTGCCTGTGGAATGAGGGGGGATTGAGGTGCCTTCCCACCCAAAACCATCCTGGGATTCCAGGATTCTGGAGCCCCTCTGCTCTGGAGCCAGGCTGGGAGAGCTGGGAATGTTCCCCTGGAGAAGAGAAGGCTCCAGGGACACCTTGGAGCCCCTTCCAGGGCCTAAAGGGGCTCCAGGAGAGCTGGAGAAGGACTGGGGACAAGGGATGGAGGGACAGGAGACAGGGAATGGCTTCCCACTGCCAGAGGGCAGGGATGGATGGGATATTGGGAAGGAATTCCTGGCTGGGAGGGTGGTGAGGGGCTGGGATGGAATTCCCAGAGAAGCTGTGGCTGCCCCATCCCTGGAAGTGTCCAGGGCCAGGTTGGAGCAGCCTGGGATGGTGAGAGGTGTCCCTGGGATGGTGGGAGGTGTCCCTGGGATGGTGGGAGGTGTCCCTGCCCAGGACAAGGCTGGGACTGGATGGGCTTTGAAGTCCCTTCCCACCCACTCCAGCCTGGCATTCCAGGACTCCAGGGAGCTCCTCTTCCCCCCTGCGTTTGGAGCTGCAGGAATGTCCCCCATCCCTGCCAATCCCGTCTGGAGTTGCAGGAATGTCCCCCGTTCCCCCAATCCCCCCCAGGCCTTACCCTGTCCCGGGGGTCCCAGTGCAGCCTCTGCTCCAGGCCGGATCCGTAGCGGCCACTGTAGAGGAGCCCCGAGGACACGGACACTGCGGAATGTCAAGGAGGGGGCAGGGACAAGGATGGGCCTCCGGGAGCTTTAGGCCTGGCTTTGGAAGGGTCAGGGACAAGGATGGGTATCCAGGGGCTCTAGGCTGAGCCCAGCTTTGGGCTCGGACTGCTCTCCATGAGGCTCCTCAGGGGGAGGAGCAGCGCTGGGGCCACGGGCCCTTCCCACCCTGGAGCTCATCCCAATCCATCAATTCCTGTCCCATCAAAGGGTCAACTCAGCCCTGCACCCACCCCCTTGTTCTCTGGGAGCTGCTCCTCCTCATCCCTCCCCAGTCCCCATGTCCTCATGGAAGCACAGCTCCTTATCCCTGATCCCAGTGTCCTCATGGAAGCACCGGAGCTGTGACCAGCTGGCAGCACTTCCTGAGCACCTAGAATATTTTCAGGGGTGTTTTCCAGGCTCACGGAGCCCAGATCTCTTTCTCCATTGGCTTTTCAGCCTCCCAACCACCTGGAATTCTTGCCTGGTGGGTCCCAGGCTGGAATTCTGTGCCAGCTTTCCTTTCTTAGTCAGGATTTGGAACTCCTTGGGATTTCAAACAGCAGCCAAGGGAAAAACCCCCAGTGACTCCTCATTTAATCCCAGACCCGGATCTTTCCAGAGTCTAATCCAACTTTTACAACCCCTTGTCCAGGGAAGGAAGCCAGGGCTCCTGCCTTTGCCAAGGAAATCAGGTTAATTTGGAGCCAATCTGATTTCCCACCCCTGAAGTATCAAACCCCATCCATGGTCAATGAGATCAAACCTCCAGAGCCTCCTGATGGGGAAGGACTTGTTTGGGTGGGGCCTCCCAGCACAAACTGGGAATCCAGACTTCCAAAGCTCCCTGAAAGTGGCTGTGAGTGGTTTGGGAGCTCTGGATGCTCTGAGTGCAGGAATTCCCCAATTCCCTGGGAATTCAGATGCTCTGGGATCTCCTGGTCACTGATGGGGTGGGAGGAATTGGATCATTTTCCAGATGCCAGTGTCCAGCTGGAGCATCCCATCCCATCCCAGGCCTGGCTCGGGGCACAGCTGGGACCAGTCCCAGTCTGGGAGCACTGGGAGCACGGGAGGTGCTGATGTTCAGGCGAGAACCAAACGGATCTCCCGAGGGGACTCTCCCTCCAGTGTCCTGCCCTCACTTCTGCCTTGTTTGCTTTCAAAGGCAGCACCCTGGAATATTCATTTTTAGTATTTCCTGATTTATATTCATCTTCGTTCCTTAAATGCTCCTTTTGTGGTTGTTTCCTGGAAGGTGGTTCTTTAAATGTTTAAATGTTCTCTGAGAAGATACAGTGGCTCCCACTGTCCAGCAAATATCAGTTATTCCATTTAAACCAGGATTAATCCAAAGGAAAAGCTGGACAGAGGAGGCAGCTCCCTAAAAACAGAACCTTTTGGGCTGGGAGCTGTGGATGCTGAGCTGAGTGCAGGAATTCCCCGATTCCCTGGGAATTCAGCCGCTCTGGGAGCTCCTGGTTCCTGATGGAGTGGGAGGAATTTGATCCTGGTGCTACAAACCCCTCTGGTTCCCCCCTCTCCTCGTTAGTGGGGCACTAACAACCTTCTGGGAAGGAGAACCCGGAGAACCAGGGAATTGCTGAGGCTGGAAAAGCCCTCTGGGATCGAGTCCAACCGTTCCCCAGGTCACCACTGACCCCCCAAGTGCCACATCCCCACAGTTTTTGGACACCTCCAGGGATGGGGCCTCCAAACCTCCCTGGGCAGCCCCTTCCAGAGCTGTACAACCCTTTCCAGGCAGGAATTTTCCCCAGTATCCAACCTGCCCCTCCCCTGGCACAGCTGGAGGCCATTTCCCTTTGTCCTGTCCCTCATTCCCTGGCTCCCCCCTCCTGTCAGGGCATTCATTTAGAAAATTACTCTAATTTCCCTCTTAGAAAATTATCCTCATTTTCCTTTTTCCCCCTTCCCGACCCACATTATCCCACATCCCTATTTCTCCAGTTTCCCCATCATCCTGGTCACACCACAGGGATTCAGGAAACCTCTCCAGGCTCGAGGCCTGTGGGGTTTTGGGATGTGGGATTGGAGCTGAACCCTCCCTTTCAGTTCCCCCTGTTTGGCTCCTCGGTGCTCAGAGCCCCAAATCCCGTTTGTAGGGATTCCTCCAAAGATTCCTGACAAGGACAAGGAATCTCCAGGTTTCCTGGATGATTTCCCCGCTGTCTCCCAGCCCCCTCAGCAGGGAGGGATTCCTGCCTTCTCCAGCCTGTTCCTCATTATCCCAGCGTGATTCCCAGAGCTCAGGGAGCTGCTCCATCCCCGGGAAATGGGGAATGTGGGCCAGTGCTGGTGTTGGCTGCCAGCCTGGAAATAAGTGGGATTGCTGGGCATTAAATCAGTGGCCTGGATCCAGGGAAGTGTTTAAGCAAAGGCTTTGCACTCCTGCCTTTGGAATGTGGATTCCAGAGGTTTGGAGTGCTCCTGTTTGACACAGAGCTGAGTCTTTAATTCCAAACACAACGTTTGGGGCCATCAGGGTGGTTCTGTTTCCTGACTCTCCAGTGATTCTGGAGAGGGAACAGGCCTCTTTTGGCACACATGGACAACAGGGAATGGCTTCCCACTGCCAGAGGGCAGGGACAGATGGGATATTGGGAAGGAATCCTTCCTGCTATGATGTGGAGGCCCTGGACTGGATTTCCCAGAGGATGCCCCATCCCTGGGAGTGTCCAAGCCCAGGCTGGAGCAGCCTTGGATGGTGGGAGGTGTCCCAGCCCAGGGCAGGGGTGGGATGGGATGGGATTTAAAGTCCCTCCAACACAAACCATTCCAGGATTCCCTGTTTCCCTGAACCCCACAGCTGTTCCAGCCCTCAGGGTCCAAGGCTGAGGGTGGTGATGGATTCCAGAGCTGAGGGAATGCTGGAGGGACTGTCTGGCACAAACCTCTTGTGTCTGGACTGCAGGATGGGCTGGGGGGGGATCAGAGGCCAAAATCCCTTTGGACTCGCCCTTGGAATGTGCACTTCCCTTTCTCCCCATCCTTCCCAACTTACTCAGACACCCTGGTGATAAATCCTGATTTTTCCTATTTCCAGTCTCTGGGAAAGGGGAGGACAAAGGCTGGGGGCCGTTCCTCTTCCCTTGATTTTAGTGGGGGGATATTAAAAATACTCCATTTTCCTGTATTCCCAGTTGGAATACGGAACACAGCACAGGCTGAGCATTCCAGGTTGGAATAACGAACACAGCACAGCACAGGCTGTGTATTCCAGGTTGGAATACAGAATCCAGCATGCTCCAAGCTGCACATTCCCAGCTGGAATACAGAATCCAGCACACTCACATTCCAAGGTGCACATTCCTTCCAGCCGGGGTTACATTAAGCTGGGTCTCAAGCCCGTGGATTCTCCCGTGTCCCAGTGGCACATTCCCGGGAAAGGATACTGCTCCCGATGCTGCAGGAGCTCCAGAGGAGCACGGCCAGGCGGGCCCAGAAGATTCCCTTGCCGTGGAATTCCGGCTGCATGTGGAAGGACAGGACGGTCTGGAGCAGCATGTAAAGGGCTCCCACTCCGAAGGTCAGGCAGGCCCCCAGCACGTGGATGTAGTACAGGACACATTTCTGGGAAAAGGAAGCACATCCTGCTTTTCTTGGAACCCCCCGGAACCATTTTTCTCTGGAAAACTTTGGAAGCTCCCCCCCTCGGGGGGGGTGGGGTGGGGGAGATTTGCCTTGGAATTGGAGTTTCCAGCCCTTGGAATTGGAGTTTCCAGCCCTTGGAATTGCTGCTTTTGGGAAGCTCTTGTGGTGAAATTCCAGGTGAGAGCTGTGCCTTAAACACAGGGATTTGTGGGAGTTGCTGGCATTAATAACAGACAGAAATGCAGGAATTGGGGCAGGGAATTCCTGCCAGGAACGGGAGACACAACAGCATTGCTATCCCGGGAATCCAGGAAAGACCATGGAAAACAGGAGAAACACCTCAGAATTCCAGGACCCAAAATGAGAGGAAAAAGAACAAGGTTCAGCATTTCCCCAAAGGACTCTGTCTGAACAAGGACTGTGTGGAATTCTCCTGGAATCCTCGGAGGGAACGAGGCTGAATACACAGCAACACTTAAAAATACTCCAGGAGAACTGGGAATTCCAACCCTCTGGAAGGAGATCCGAGTGTCCCTCCTGCAAAGCCTGGGCTTTGGAAGGGGCTGCTCATGAGTCCCAAAGGAAAGAAGAAATGACTAAAAAAAAAAAATCCATTTTTTTAACAGTTTCCAGGTGGGAATATGACCCAAAAAGCCCCAGTTTGCTCCCAAAGGAAAGAAGGAATAACTAAAAGAAAATGATAATTTTTTTAACAGTTTCCAGGTGGGAATTGGACCCAAACCCCCCAATTTTCCATGAAAACTTTCCCTGGGATTTCAGAAGAAGGCAAGGAAAGCCCAAACCTGGAAGTTTGCGATGATGCAGAGGCCAAAGCAGCTCATCCAGCCCAAGGTGAGGCCAATCCTGTTGAGCCTGAGGATCCTGGAATTCCCTGGGATCAGGGCACACACCTGTTTGTACCGGACGTACATCGTGGCCACCCCTGCAGGGACAACAGTGAGATTCCCAAGGTCCTTTTCCCACTGGGAAGGTGCTGAGTGACACAAGGAATTCCTTAAAATCCAGGGATTTTTTTTCTGGATCACAGGAATGGGAAAGCTGAGGGGCTGGGAGTGCAAACTGGGATGATACAGCAGCAAAGAATTTCAATATATGGATTTTCCTGAGATTTTCTTCATTTACAAACCCCTGTTGGTTTTTCCCTCCTTCCAGGTAAATAACTGCCTGGAATTCCCATTTTTGTTGCTTTTATTCATCTCATTGGGTTTTTAAAGCCTCTCCTGCCCTTCTGGAGTTTTTGTGGTGCTCTCACCGCCGCGGCCCGGCTTCGATTCCCGGTCAGGGGACTCCCCCGGGCAGATGGAGCTCGTCAGCCCTGTAAGGCCATCCGTCTACGAGAAGGTCACTCCAAACACACCTACGTCCTGAGGACCTCGCTGCCACTGTCCGAGCTCGCTCGGCCCCGGCAGATGAACCTCAGGATCAAAGGGTGGGCTCAGGTCAGCACACACTGTGTCTCACCTAAAACATCCACTGTGCAGGCTGGAAGGGTAAAGACCTTTCCCAAATCTTCGCTCGCGAAGACTGGCCATACAAGGGCCCTTCTGGAAGCTGCAATTCCCATGCTGGATTCCCAGATAACCCCCCTGGCCCATCCTTTCCTCTCCACAGAGATTTATTGCCCAAGGTTTGGTTTTTGCCTGGGATTTTGGGCCCATCCATGACCTGAGGGGGAAAGGAAATTGTTTGGAGCTTTTCCCACTCACCCAGGAAGGTGGAAACATTCAACATGATCCCAAACAAGCATCTTTCCGGTGGAATCGTCCCTGTGTCGCTGGAGAAGAGAAATTCCAGGGATGGAGCAGCCACAGCTGCTCTGGGAATTCCATCCCAGACCCTCCCAGCCAGGAATTCCTTCCCAATATCCCATCCATCCCTGCCCTCTGGCAGTGGGAAGCCATTCCCTGTGTCCTGTCCCTCCATCCCTTGTCCCCAGTCCCTCTCCAGCTCTCCTGGAGCCCCTTTAGGTGTCCCCCTCCAAGGTGTCCCTGGAGCCTTCTCTTCTCCAGGGGAACATTCCCAGCTCTCCCAGCCTGGCTCCAGAGCAGAGGGGCTCCAGAATCCTGGAATCCCAGGATAGTTTGGGTTGGAGGGACCTTAAATCCCACCCAGTTCCACCCCTGCCCAGGACAGGGACACCTCCCACCATCCCAGGCTGCTCCAGCCTGGCCTTGGACACTTCCAGGGATGGGGCATCCTCTGGGAACTCCATCCCAGCCCCTCCCCACCCTCCCAGGGAGGAATTCCTTCCCAGTATCCCATCCCACCCTCTCCCAGTCTGACACAACCTCCAACACTCTCTAACAACCCCAACCAGGAACCACAACCTGGAGCTGTTGGGACAAACCCTTGGAGTCTGGGAGCTGGGAGGAATTCCCAGGGCTGGGACAGGGACACACCCCTGACCTGATGTAGGGCACAGGGACAGGGCACATCCCTGACCTGATGTAGGGACACATCCCTGACCTGATGTAGGGGCACATCCCTGACCTGATGTAGGGACACATCCCTGACCTGATGTAGGGGCACATCCCTGACCTGATGTAGGGGCACATCCCTGACCTGATGTAGGGGCACATCCCTGACCTGATGTAGGGCACCAGCGGGTCCACGTGGCGCAGCACCGTGGCAGTGATGTAGGAGAACACGAAGGACGCCGCCGACCACAGCACCAGGGCCACGGGCAGGAAGGACAGGCCCTGCTGGAACCACCACATGGCACCACGGGGACAGCACACGGGGTCTGGGGAGGGGGGAGAGGGGGGTCAGAGTCCTCAGAGGGTTGGGGAGAGTTCTTGAAGGTTTAGTGAGAGTCCTCAAAGGTTTGGTGAGAGTTCTGAAAGGGTTGGTGAGAGTTCTCAAAGGGTTGGTGAGAGTTCTCAAAGGTTTAGTGAGAGTTCTTGAAGGTTTAGTGAGAGTTCTTGAAGGTTTAGTGAGAGTTCTCAAAGGTTTAGTGAGAGTTCTTGAAGGTTTAGTGAGTTTTTTCAGAGGTCTACTAAGAGTTCTCCAAGGTTTACTGAGAGTTCCCAAGGGTTTACAAACAGTTCTCAAAGGTTTAGTGAGAGTTCTTGAAGGTTTAGTGAGATTTTTCAGAGGTCTACTGAGAGGTCTCAAAGGTTTACTAAGATTTTTCAGAGGTTCATAGAGATTCTCAAAGGTTTATTAAGAGTTCCCAGGTTTGTTGAGAGTTCTCAAGCATTTACTGAGAGTTCTTAAAGATTTAATAGGACTTCTCAGAGGTTTACTGGGGGTTCTGAAGGGTTCACTGAGATTCCCAAAGGTTTACTGAGATTTTTCAAAGGTTTACTGAGAGTTCTCAAAGGTTTATTAAGAATTCCCAGAGATCTTCTGAGATTCCCAAAGGTTTACTGAGAGTTCCCAAGGGTTTACAAACAGTTCTCAAAGGTTTACTGTGAGTTCTTGAAGGTTTAGTGAGATTTTTCAAAGGTTTACTGAGGTTCTCAAGGGTTTACTGAGAGTTATCAAATGTTTTCTGAGATTCTCCAAGGTTTTCTGAGAGTTCTGGAAGGTTTTCTGAGAGTTCTGGAAGGTTTTCTGAGAGTTCTCAAACCTTTATTGAGATTCTCAAACCTTTACTGAGATTTCTCAAACTTTTACTGAGATTCCTCAAAGGTTTATTGAGATTCCCAAAGGTTTATTGAGATTCCCAAAGGTTTACGAAGATTTCTCCAAGTTTAATAAGAATTCTCAAAGGTTTTCTGAGATCCTCAAAGGTTTAATAGGATTTCTCAAGGGTGTACTGAGAGTTCCCAAAGTTTTACTGAGATTCTCCAAGGGTTTCTAGGATTTCTCAGGTGTTTCCTAAGATTTTTCAGGGGTTTCCCAGGATTTCTCAGGGGTTTCCCAGATTTCTCAAGGGTTTCCAGAGATTTCTCAAGGGTTTCCAGGATTTCTCGGGGTTTTTCTAAGATTTTTCAGGGTTTTCCCAGGATTTCTCAGGGCTATCCTAAGATTTCTCAGGGGTTTCCAGGATTTCTCAGGGGTTTCCCAGGATTTCTCAGGGCTATCCTAAGATTTCTCAGGGCTATCCTAAGATTTCTCAGGGCTATCCTAAGATTTCTCAGGGGTTTCCCAGGATTTCTCAGGGGTTTCCAGGATTTCTCAGGGGTTTCCCAGGATTTCTCAGGGGTTTCCCAGGATTTCTCAGGGGTTTCCCAGGATTTCTCAGGGCTATCCTAAGATTTCTCAGGGGTTTCCAGGATTTCTCAGGGGTTTCACCCTCCTCAAGGCAGCTGCTCCTCATCCAGCAGTTGGATGTTTCTCTCTCCCCTCTCCTGCCAACCCCAAGTGAAATTTGTCTTCCCAGCACAGAAATAACAATAAATAACCCAAATTACCTCAGCAATGGTAATTGAACCCTCAGAGGATCATTAACAACCTGCAGAGCCACTTTCCAGCCCAGCTGGGGTTTGGTGCTGCCAGAGCAGGGGCAGGGGGTCACTGGGGATAAATGAGCCCATTTGTCTCTTCCTTGTGCTGTGAAGCCCCGGGGAGGTGACAGAGGACGTGTCACACTGGGGCTGAGGGAGGATCTGTGACACTGGGGCTGAGGGAGGCTCCCTCAGCAGCCACAGCTCTCAGCAAGCCTCTGAAAAATCTCAATAAACCTTTGAGAACCCCAGTAAACCCTTGAGAATCCTCTGGGAAATCTGAATCAACCTTTGAGAACCTCAGTAAACATCTGAAAAATCTCAATAAACCTTTGAGAACCCCAGTAAACCTCTGAAAAATCTCACTAGATCTTCAAGAACTCGTAGTAAACCTTTGAGAATTCCCAGTAAACCTTTGAAAAATCTCAGTAACCCTTTAGGAACTCTCAGTAAACCCTTGAGAACTCTCAGTAAACCTTTGAGAACTCTTCAGTAAACACTTGAAAAATCCTATTAAACCTTTGAGAAATCTTAGTAAACCTTTCAAAAATCTCACTAACCCTTCAAGAACTGGTAGTAAACCTTTGAGAATTTCAGTAAACCTTTGAGAACTCATAATAAACCTTTCAGAACTCTTAATAAACCTTTGAGAATGTCAGGCAGACATGGAGGCAATGACCAAAAATTCCTTCGATCCCTGCTCTCCTTCAGTCCCTGCCAGGCTGCAGGACTCGACATCTGCTCCAGAATCCTGGAATGGTTTGGATGGGAAGGGACCTCAAATCCCATCCCATCCCACCCTGCCCCGGGCAGGGACACCTCCCACCATCCCAGGCTGCTCCAGCCTGGCCTTGGGCACTTCCAAGGATGGGGCAGCCACAGCTTCTCTGGGAATTCCATCCCAGCCCCTCACCACCCTCCCAGCCAGGAATTCCTTCCCAATATCCCATCCATCCCTGCCCTCTGGCAGTGGGAAGCCATTCCCTGTGTCCTGTCCCTCCATCCCTTGTCCCCAGTCCCTCTCCAGCTCTCCTGGAGCCCCTTTAGGCCCTGGAAGGGGCTCCAAGGTATCCCTGGAGCCTTCTCTTCTCCAGGGGAACATTCCCAGCTCTCCCAGCCTGGCTCCAGAGCAGAGGGGCTCCAGAATCCTGGAATCCCAGGCTGGTTTCGGTGGGAAGGCACCTCCAAGTCCATCTCATTCCATGGGTAGGGACACTCCCACCAGCCCAGGCTGCTCTTGCCTGATTTCTTCCCCATTTTCCAGCTGAAATGAAAGGTTGCCCTCTGGTGTTCACTCAGTGCAGTAAAACAGCAAGGAATGCAACTTCCCAATCCCACTTTTTGTAATAAACTGGGAACTGGGAAGAGAAATGCAGGTTTTACCCATTTTGTTACACATCATATATTCCTGGGCGTGTCGTTCCCACCTCCCGTCTGATGCCTAAATCACACTCCTCCTTTCACATTTCAATGTTCCCAGTGCCTTCATTTGATTTCTGAGCTCCCAGGTTTCAAACCAACCCCTTCCCATGTACCTGAGGACAAGGACACCCAGGGAAACACCGCTCAAGGGGAATCCAAGGTCATCTTGGTGCTGGAGCTCCACCTGTTTGCTTCATTTTCCTGAATCTCTGAGACATAAAGCAGAATAATCCAGGTGTGAGATGTTTTTATAGCTCTTACTCACCTGATTTACTCTTGTGAGCACCTCCTACAGTCACTGCTCTGGCCTGGACGTGGCACTGGAGGGTTGGATCGACACAGGATGTTTTCCCTGGGTTCCAAGTGCTGTAAGGAGGGAGGCTGTTGGGTGCTGGGGTGCTGGAAATGCAGATTTGGATTTACAGGAGGTGGAAATGCAGACATTTGGATTTACAGGAGGTGGAAATGCAGACATTTGGATTTACAGGAGGTGGAAATGCAGACATTCTGATTTACAGGAGTTGTCTGCACGAAGATTGAACTGGGAGTGAGGAGCTTCCCAGCCAAACCAACTGGATGCAGCTGTTTGGGTGGATCAGGAGCAGCGCCTGGGATGGTGTTCCCAGCGCAGGAGCAGCACAAAGCCAGAGCAGTCCCTCTGGGAACAGGCACCCCACAGTGCTGCTGGTGCTGGAGCAACCTGGACTTCATGGAATCACAGAATCCTTGAGGCTGGAAAAGCCCTCTGAGGTCACCGAGTTGGCCCAGCACTGCCGTGGTCACCACTGATCCATGTTCCCAGGGGCCACATCCACAGGTTTTCTGAACCCTTCCAGGGATGGATGGGGACTCCACCCTGCCCCGGGCAGCCCTTTCCATGGAGACATTTTCCCAGTATCCGACCTGAACCTCCCCTGGTGCAACCTGAGGCCATTTCCTCTCCTCCTGTCCCTGTTTTCAGCAGGGAGAAGGAAAACCCCTCAACCTCCCTGTTTTGTCACAAGCTCCTTCACCAACAGATTCCACACCAACAGTGACCAGCCTCGATTTTCCACAGAACTGTGATGTTTCCCAAATGTTTATCCTGCTCTCCAGGCACCTCGGTGTCCTGAGGGGTTGTTAAGCTCCAGGTTGGGTGTCACAGATCATTCCCATCATTCCAGTGAAGGAAGTGTTTGGAAAGCAAAGGCATTTGAACCCTCTCAGAGGTGTCTCCCCCAATCCAGGAGCAGCCACATCCTGGGGTAGAGACTCCAAATGGAAATGGAAGGTGAGTGAGGCCATTGAGGGCAGGAGGTTCGTGTTACCTGGAATGACGAGGCTGAAAGGATGGTGGAATGTGGGAAAAGGGGAATTCCTGAATTGTCCACCTGCCTCTTCCCTGCTCCCTCAGGGGACAGGGAGGGACAAAGCCCCACTGAAGGACACTCCCTTCTCTCTCCAGCAGCAGGGATGAGGGAGGAAGGCCAGAGCAGTGTGTCAGTGCTTTCCTGAGCCAGCACGAGCCAGAGAACTCCGAGCACAGGGTCCTGTCAGGTCACCCTGATAAGCAGCAGGGGAAGGCCACTGTCCCCAAACCCAGCAGGAAATGTCACCTCTGCTGTCCCCACCCCAGGGCAGTGACGGGGGCTCACTCTGAGCAGCCAGGAAAGCTTTAGGATACGGGGGAGAGGCAGCTTCCAAGGGGTGTCCAGCCTGGAGCCAAGCCAGGCAGTGCCAGGCACAGGACACGGTGACACAGGGGTGTCCCCAGCCCCGCTGGCACTCCTGGCACTCTGGGTGATCCCGGAGCTCCGTGCCAGGGATGAGCCCATGGGAGCTACCAGTGCCACCTGCCCCAGAGAGCAGCTGGAAACACCCCCAGGGAGAGATACCCAGGGGACAGCTGGGAATGGGGGCACTGCGAAGGCACAGGGGGAGTGGGGGTGGGACAGAGAGAGGGACAAGGGACCAGGATGGAGGGAAGGGCCAGGGGGAGGGCAGAGAGTGAAGGGGCAGAGGGGGGTCCCCAGGGCACAGAGGGGACTGGGAGCAATGGCAGGGACGTGAGGGTGGGGGAGGAGGTCACTGGGGCAGCCAGACAGCGATGGGGGGGCACTGGGGACATGGTGAGGGACACTGGGGCAGCTGGGACAGTGATGGGGGGCACTGGGGATGTGGTGGGGGACACTGGGGCAGCAGTGGGGGCACTGGGGACGTGGTGGGGGGACACTGGGGCAGCAATGGGGGCACCAGGCCTGATAAGGGGGCATGAGGGATTTGTCAGGGGAGGGAGGGGGGACACTTGAGGTTCCTGGGGGTCCCGAGGGTCTCTGGGGATAGGGGCTGCAGGGAGAGGGCACAGAGGAGGAGCAGGGTGGGAGTGACAGTGAGGGGGCTGGGGGACACCAGGGGTCACTGAGGGGTGACAGGGGGTCTCTGAGGGGTGACAGGAAGGTCGTGGGGTCTCTGAGGGGTTGACAGGGGGTCTCTGAGGGGTGACAGGAAGGTCGTGGGGTCTCTGAGGGGTTGACAAGGAGGCCAGGAAGGTTCTGAGAGGTGACAGCAGTTTGGGGGCTCCCTGAGGGGGTGCCAGGGTATTCCTGAGGGGTGACAGGATGTCCCTGAGGGGGTGCCAGGGTATTCCTGATGTCCCTGAGGTATTCCAGGTATTCCAGGATGTCCCTGAGGGGTGCCAGGGTGTCCCTAAGGGGGTGTCAGGGTGTCCCTGAGGGGTGACAGGATGTCCCTGAGGGGCTCAGAGAGTGTCCCTGAGGGGGTGTCAGGGTGTCTCTGAGGGAGTGTCAGGGGGTCCCTGAGGAGGTGACAGAGCATCTCTGAGGGGTGGCAGAGTGTCCCCGAGGGGTGACAGGGTGTCCCTGAGGGAGTGTCAGGGGGTCCCTGAGGGGGTGCCAGGGGGTCCCTGAGGGGTTCACGGGGTGTCTCTGAGGGGGTGCCAGGGGGTCCCTGAGGGGTTCACGGGGTGTCCCTGAGGGGTTCACGGGGTGTCCCTGAGGGGGTGTCAGGGGGTCCCTGAGGGGTTCACGGGGTGTCCCTGAGGGGGTGTCAGGGTGTCCCTGAGGGGTCACACGGAGGTCGGGGGGGGTCTCTGGGGGGGTCTCTGAGGGGTGCCGGGCTGGGTGCCCGCGGTGCGGGTGGTCCCGGTGCCCCCCGCGCCCTTTACCTCAGCCGCTCCCGCGCCGAGCCCGCCCCGGCCCCGCCTCCGGCCCCGCCGCCGCCGCTTTTCCGGCCGTCGCAAAACGGGGCGTAAAAACCAAGCGCCGCCCGGTGCGGGGACACGGAGGTAACGGGGGGACAGGGAGGGGCTGCGGCCGGGCCGGGACCCCCCGGCCCCCTCCGGGACCGCCCCGGCCCCGGGCCGAGCTCTGGGGGAGCGCCCCGGGGAAGGGGGGCCGGGGCTGTGCCCGCGCCGGGCCGGGGCTGCGGGCCGGGGCTGTTCCGGGACCCCCCGAGACCGCCCGGCCCTGCCCGGGGCTCGGGGGGCGCGGGGGGAGCCCCGAGGGGGGCCGGGGCTGTACCCGCGCCGGGCCGGGATCGGTGGGGGCGAAGCGCTGAGGGGACCCCGAACCCCCCTTCCCTCCCCTTCCCTCCCCTTCATCCCCTCCCGTCTCCCTGCCCTGCCCCGTGGGAGCCCCGGCCGGGGTTTGTTGTGGGGGACGAGGCTCCCCGGGTTGTTTTCCCCTCGGAACGCCCCGAGTTCTGTGCGCGGGGGCCTCGTTTTCCGTGCCCGGCCCCCGCAGGGCCCCCGCGCCGGCCGGGTTTGGTCTCGGGGTGGTGAAAGAGGGGCAGTTCTGCCCCTTGCCGAGCTCGTCCCCAGCCCAGGCCCTGCTTTCTCCTCTCCCCTCCCACTGAGGTGCCTTTTCACTGCTGGAATTTGCCTTGATGAGGGTGTGGAGAGGCAGTGTCAGCTCCTGTTCTCAGACAAGTGCTGACCTTTGATTTCCACAGCTTGTTTTCCCTACCTGTGTGTGGAGTTAGAGCACCCTGCCCTCTTCCTACGCTTCAGCCACGTTTTCTTCTCCCCCCCCCATTGTCTCCTATTGATAAACAGCAAACTCTTATTTTTAGTCTCCTTTCTCTACTCTTCTTCCTATGGAGAGTTACACGTTTCATTCAAGGGAGATGGAACATTGTGAGGGTTCTTATTTGTGCTGGAAAAGCTCTTCCTGACCCTGTACTTTCTTTTCTTTCTGGAAAAAAAATCTGTATAAGAGAAACGTGTAAAATGGTTTTGACCCACTAAAGCTTTCCAGCTCCTGCATGTTTCTTGAAAGCTGGACAAGATGTTGAGCTTTCACCTCAACTGGGTTAAATCTGGAGAGGAGAAAAACAGAAATAAGGAACATAAATCTGAAAAAAAAAAAGCTCATCAGTGTTTTTAGGTGGCTGTTCAGTGTCACCAAGGAGACAGAGCTGCTCCAAGCCAATTTAACTTCAGACTTGGCGGTGTTTGGATACATTTGGGTAAACTTGGAGCCATCAGTTGATAACCTGAGTGGTGTCAGAGGTGTGAGGGACTGGCAGTGCCACAAGTCACTGCTCTGGGGTGAGTTTCTGGAAGTGCCAACTCACATCTGAAGTGCTCAGGGGGCCCTGGCGACTCACCAAGGTCCGCCCAGAGACACGAGGGTGCTGCTGCACTGTGGGCTCCAGCACTTCTCCTGTGAGTTATTGCATTATATGGTTTAGTCCAACCTTTCTTAATGGAAAGTTGGTGATAGTAGAAATTATAGATGTATTTATATGTATAAATACCAATTTTGGCTGATGGCTGCAGAGTATTTGCCCCAGCAGGCAGTGACGAAAGTAAAGGTGCAGCTTAGCATTTTACAGCTAATTTTATACACTCATTTCTCACATTTCCCTCAGCAACTCTCAAAAAAACTTTGTTTTTTAAGGGAGGAACCCTATAAAATCATCCTGGTTTGCTGGTGGCTCCTCAGAGCAGCACCTGCAAACTTCTGATACCTTAAAATCTCGTTTGGGTGTTCAAGTGTCACACACAGAATACACTGAGTTGGAAGAGACCCACGAGGGTCAGGGAGTGCAGCTCTTAGCCCTGCACGGGCCCATCCCCAAAAGCCACACTGTGGGCCTGAGGGGATCACCTGGAGCTCTGTGAGCCCCAGTGCTGTGCCCACTACCTGGGGGTGACCCTGAGCTCTGTGAGCCCCAGTGCTGTGCCCACTGCCCGGGGGTGACCCTGGGGGTGACCCTGAGCTCTGTGAGCCCCAGTGCTGTGCCCACTGCCCGGGGGTGACCCTGGGCATGGCTCGGTGCCCGGCCGCCCTCTGAGGGGGAAGGACCTTTTCTCTAACGAGTCTCTCCCAACCCTTCCTTTCTCTTGCAGGATCTTATGGTTCTCCAGCACAGCTCCTGCCTGCCAAACCTCACCTCCTAGGCCAGCCGACCCATGAGCGGGCACCGCAGCAGCAGGAGGAGATGTGGGGAGGCCCAGGCCGAGGCCCCCGCGGGCTGTGGGCACGGCCCCGGGGCTGGGTGTGTGCTCAGCAAGCTGGTGCAGCTGCCCACGCCCCCCCTGAGCAAGCACCAGCTCAAACGGCTCGAGGAGCACAAGTACCAGAGCGCGGGCAGGTCCCTGCTGGAGCCACTCATGCAGGGCTACTGGGAATGGCTGGTGGGCAGAGTGCCCGCCTGGATCGCCCCCAACCTCATCACCATCGTCGGACTGTGCATTAACATCCTCACCACCCTGCTGCTGGTGTGGTACTGCCCCACAGCCACAGAGCAGGTGAGCTGGGCACCTCGGAGCCCTTCGGGGTGCTGGGGGCACCTCCTGGCAGGGGCACTGGGCTTGGGGGGTTCCTACTCTCTTGGCACTGGTTTGGGTGGGTTCCTGCCTTCTTGGCACTGGTTTGGGTGGGTTCCTGCTCTCTTGGCACTGGTTTGGGTGGGTTCCTGCTCTCTTGGCACTGGTTTGGGTGGGTTCCTGCTTTCTTGGCACTGGTTTGGGTGGGTTCCTGCTTTCTTGCTGGGCCAGCCCACAGTTTTTGTACTTTTAACCTGTTGTCTGTAAATCTTGGTGCCCCCCTGGGGTGGGTTTTGGGGTGAGACAGCAGCTCCTCAGGCCCCAGCTGTGTGAGCAGGGTCTGACAGAACCAGCTCTTTGAGGTTTAAAAATCCAGGCTTCTGTTCTACTCCTCATTGCACCAAAGCAGATTGACTGGAATGTTCTGTCCTGGTGCTGAAATCTTTCCAATGACACCTGGCTCTGATTTTTTCCTGGTTTTGGGTCTCACTTTGATCCTGTACCAAAGGTCTGAGTGCTTTGGGCTCCCTTGGAACTTCCCAGGGCCCTGATAACCCAAGATTTCTGGGGCTGGGTTTTGGGGTGGGACAGCAGCTCCTCAGGCCCACACACCCCTGTGGAGCAGGGTCTGACAGAACCAGCTATTGGAGTAAGAGGATTAAAAATCCAGATGCTGCTTTGATAGTGCAGATTCTCTTGAGAAACTCGTGTTCCTGCTCCAGAATTTCAGCCTTTGGAGCAGTTTTCGATGTGTATTGGAGGAAGGAAATGAAAAATCCAGGGTTCTGTTCTACCCCTCATTCCACCAAAGCAGATTGACTGGAACTGTTCTGTCCTGATACTGAAATCTTTTAAACCTTTCACAGCTGGGAACTGAAATTTGCCCTCAGTTTGTGGGATTTGGAGACAATTCTGCAACAGCCCCACTCAAGAGTCTGACAGTGTTATTTACAGTTTATCATCCTGGATTTGTAGGTACCCAAGTGCTGCTAAACCAGTACAAAGATGGGCCTCTTGTCCAAGGCAGCTTTTATTGGCAGGACACTGCTTTGAGAGTGCAGATTCTCATGAGAAATTTGGGTTTCTGCTCCAAAATTTCAGAGTTTGGAGCAGTTTTCAGTGTGTGTTGGAGGAAAAAAAAAGAAAAATCCAGATTTCTGTTCTGCCCCTGACTACACTAAAGCAGATTGACTGGAACTGTTCTGTCCTGGTGCTGAAATCTTTCTGATAGGACACCTGGCTCAGAGCTCAGCTCAGGCTCTGGGGCAGTTTGGGGACACAGGGTTGTGTTCCTGGGCTGTGTCCCTGCTGTGAGGGGCTGGATAAAAGTCAGGAGGATTATTCTTTGTTCTCAATGCATGACAAGCTCCTGCCCTGCCCTCAGGAGAACTGTCTGAACCTGCTTTCAGGGCCCCAAGAGTCTTCAGGAGGCATTTCCAAGTTCCTCATTTCAAAGGGTTTTTTTTCTCTTGCACCTGAAAACTTTCATTTTCGTGCACTGGGAAAGTTTTGGGGTTTTTTTCCACTTGAACGTGGAAACCTTAAAAGCTGCCCTGGGAAAGGGGGTGTGTCACACACCGGAAAACTGGGAATGCCTCAGGATTTCCAGCTGGATCTGAGCTCCCTCCTGTCCTGAGCTGAGGTTGGGAATGGAGCAGCACAGTTTGTTCCCAGCCAGGCTCCAAACCCCACGTAGGTTGGCACATCCCTGCTCCCTGTGTGGCACAGGAACGGGCTGTTTGCCTGTCCTAGAAATCTGTTGAAACAGATAATTTCACAACAACTCGTGGAATTTGGCAGGTGGAAGATAAACAGTTGGAGCAGGGAGCACTTGGAGCAGCTCCTCCTGCAGGCCCGGGGCTCTGTGGGGTGGGCTGGCTTTAACTGGGGGTTATTTGGGGGCTCAGGCTCTGAAATCTGGTTTGACAGAGACACTTCAGCTGTCCCAGGACATCTGGGGCACTGAGCCAGAGCAGGAGTGAATGAATGTAGAGGTTTGGGTTGTTTGGTGTTTGGTATTGTTTTGATTGGTGATGAACCTCCAGAAGCACAAACTGAGCTGCACTGAGAGCACCAGGAGCTCGAGTGAGCTGTGTCAGAGCACCAGGAGCTCGAGTGAGCTGTGTCAGAGCACCAGGAGCTCGAGTGAGCTGTGTCAGAGCACCAGGAGCTCGAGTGAGCTGTGTCAGAGCACCAGGAGCTCGAGTGAGCTGTGTCAGAGCACCAGGAGCTCGAGTGAGCTGTGTCAGAGCACCAGGAGCTCGAGTGAGCTGTGTCAGAGCAGTGCTGGTGTTCAGCACTTTGGGAGGTGCTCTGGGGGAGGTGACTGAGGTTTCCTCTCCCTTGGAGCTGTGTCAGAGCAGTGCTGGTGTTCAGCACTCTGAGGTGCTCTGGGGGAGGTGACTGAGGTTTCCTCTCCCTTGGATGCAGGATGACCTGGTGCCGAGGCAGCTCCTGCTCCACTTTGCCCATGGCACCGCAGCCCCGGTGCTGGAGGTGCCTTTGAAGTGTCAGGAGCTGCCTGGGGAGGAAAATGGGCCTTTGAAACTCCACAAACAACGTGCTACTTTTTTTTTTTTTTCCCTCCTCCCCCAGAGCACTTTTGCTTTCAGATGTAAATTTTCTCTTCCTTGTAGCTCAGCCTTAGTTTTGCTTTTTTTTTTATCCCTTGGTTTCCTCCAAGAGTGACTTGTCTCTTCCTGTTGTTGAGAGGTGTAGCCAGGGGAGCTGAGCAGGAGAGAGAAGGAGATGCAAATCCTTCCTGCTGAGCTGGGAGGACCCAACTGGCAAAGTGCTGAGTGATGAATTGTTTCGCTTTTAAAAAAAAAAGAATGGAAAAAAAGGCCTGGATAAGAGAAGGAGCTGTGAAATCATCCCCAAGATATGAATAACCTCTCAGTGGAAACACCTACGCTGCTAATGAAAGGAGAGAGAAGAGCCAGCAGAGGGATTTTTTGGGGGTTTGTAGAGAAAAATTGCATCACCCTGAACGTAATTAAACATGGGGTATAAAACCTAGAAATGAGGAATAAAAATAACACCACGGGCTGGAATTCTGTGGCATCAAAAACTTGGGAAATGTGGTTTTCTCTCTCCCCCCCACCCCGTGTGTTGTTTGTACAGATGAAGTGCTGAAAGCAGAGCAGCTTTTGGGGCAGAATGAAGGGGTTTGGTCACTCAGGAGCAGTGGAGGCTGGAGAAGGAATGTGTTTTAGTTGCTGTGCTCCAGTGAGTCGTGGTTGTGTCAGCCTAGCTAAGCTGGACTCAGGGCTCTGTGAGAGGCAGGTTGGGTTAGTTGAACTGCCCTGGATTTTATTGGTGTGCTCTGGAAGACAGAGCTGCTCGTAAATGCCCACGTGTGTCGAGTGGGAAGGTTGCAAAACAGCCAATAATTTGGAATTGATGGGAGTGGCAGCTGAGCCAGAGGGGTGGGGATCTACCTTTTCTGGGCTGGGTGGGTCGTGCTTCAAACAGCAGAGAAAAGCTGCAGTTGGAGAGTTCTGGCTTTGGCATTGTTGGGCTTTCTGTGGAAATCCAAACTGCTCTGCAGGAAGGGGCTGTGAGGGGGGTTAAGGTGGATTTTCTTGGCAAAGCTGCTGATGCTGGAGGCCCCCAGAGGCTCCTGAGCTCCCAGTCTGGGCAGTGCCACAGCTCCAATGTCCCTGGGCACGGGGAGCTCGGGGTTTGGGGTGGAAGTTGTGGGGTTTCTACCTCGAGGGTTTCACTGCACACCCTGTGCACGTGTGGGGCTGGGGTTTGCTCCAGCTGCCTGGGAGCACGAGGCTGGAGCTGATCCAGGCTGGAATTTGGGCCCTGCTTTATTTACATTCCACATGTCCCAGCCCCATCCTGCCTGTCCTGCCAGGGCCCTGGGTGACCTGGAAGTGCTGAGGGAAAATGCTGAGTCAGGCTGTGGGACAGGGCAGCTGCAGCACTTGGAATGCTGAGGTTTGAAAATCACCTTTCTTCTGCTTTCCTTTCCCTGTCAGGCACCTCCCTGGGCATACATTGCTTGTGCTTGTGGCCTTTTCATCTACCAGTCCCTGGATGCCATAGATGGAAAACAAGCCAGGAGGACAAACAGCAGCACTCCCCTGGGAGAGCTCTTTGATCATGGCTGTGATTCCTTGTCCACAGGTATTGCTGTTATTTCTAGTTGAACTCGGAGGATTAAGTGACTCTTATTTCAGGGATTAAATCTGCAATGCCCCCCCAAAAAAAGAAAAAGCTTTTTTTACTGAATGCAGGGCTGAAAGGATCATTTTTCAGCTCAGAAGGTCACCTTTCTTTGCACCCTGGAGCAACTGAGTTGTCTTCTCTTGTGTTCCACTGAAAACAAAATGAAGCATGTGGCTGATTCAGCCTGAGCCAGCACTTTTCTGGGAGGGTTCAGCAGAGTCTTGGCTCTCAAACATTGTCTGTAGGAGTCCTTAGAATGCTCTGTTGGGTTATTTTGGGGTGACTCTCTAGGCAGGTCTGAAGCCCGAGCAGTGGGACTCTGCAAGTCTTGAGTTTAGGATTAAAAGATTAAAATTAAGATTAAAATCAGCCAGATCAGTTCCTGGGGAGGTGGAGGGCACTGAGCCAGCCTGAACTTTAACCCCGTTGCAAAAAAAATCCTGGAATATCCTGAGTTGGAAGGGTTGCACAGGGATCACAGAGTCCAGCTCCTCGTCAGGTGGTTTGGGTTCCTGAAATTCTAAAGCTTTAAGTTTTTAGGATTTCTCTAGCAAAACTGCATGTGAAAATGTGGAGGGGAAAGCACAGATCCATTGGGAATCCAGAATGACACACCTTGGATTCCATAAATCAGAAAATGGGGGGGGGAAATGCCCAGCAAATCTTGGATCCAGGAGAAAACCCCCAGACCTGCACAAACCACCCAAGGCCCTTCATGGGAGTGTTTAGTGGAGTAAAAACATGGGAGACTGAGAAACCCTCAATCCTGCAGACTTCTAGTGACTGATGTGCATTTCAATACCCATTTTGCAGTTTTAATTATTTCAAACTGAGGTGTTTTGTGCAACCCCCCCCAAGGCCACCCCCAGCACCGGGCCCCGGGTGTAGCTTTGCTTCTGCTGAGGATCTTGACACCCATGTCCCACTCCCCCTTTTCACTGAGTGACTGATTTTCTCCTGCAGTCTTTGTGGTTTTGGGAACTTGTATTGCTGTGCAGCTGGGCACCAACCCTGACTGGATGTTCTTTTGTTGTTTTGCTGGGACATTCATGTTTTACTGCGCTCACTGGCAGACCTACGTCTCGGGCACGCTGCGCTTTGGGATGTAAGTACCTCCCCCGGAGCAAACCGGAACCTGACCTCGGTTCTCTGCCTCATTCCCTGCCCACTCTGTGCCCTCTGTGCCCACGGTCCCCTCCCTAGAGCTGTAGAAAATCGTGTGTGTCCGTGGAGACCCTTAGAGCTCGTGGCAGCTGCTGTGGGATTTGTCCCGGGTGTTGCTTGTGAAGTCTCCCTTTGTCCTGGTGGTTAATTAGGAGCTTTTTGATGTGATCTAAAGCTGAATAAAGAATGGGAAGTAGCTGCTGTTCCGTGCCAGGAGGGTTTGGTCAGGTGGTGGCAGTGTGGCTTTAGCACTCAGTTAATCTTGATGCTGCTGTGACGTGCAGTTAATGTTTGTTATTGACCACAACTCCTCGGATTCTCTGGAATAACTGAGACTGAGCCTCCAGGTTAAAGTCCTGAACCCCTTTGGGTTGGTGTAGGCTGGGATTCTGTTCATATGGAGTGAAAACTCTGTTCATATGGAATGAGAATTCTGTTAATGATGGAATGAGAATTCTGTTAATGATGGAATGAAAATTGCAATGCTAAGGAAGTGAAGAGCTGAAATCCCTTTTCCTGCTGGGTGGGGGGTGGAACACAAGGGTTCTCTGGCCTTAGTGGGGAAATAAATGTGTTTTATTTGAGGATTTATTCTCTGTTTGCATCCCCAGCACAAAGATGGGCCTCTTGTCCAAGGCAGCTTTTATTGGCAGGACACTGCTTTGAGAGTGCAGATTCTCATGAGAAATTTGGGTTTCTGCTCCAAACTTTCAGTATTTGGAGCAGTTTTCAGTGTGTGTTGGAGGAAGAAAATTAAACAATCGAGATTTCTCCTCTATTCCTGTTCTACCCCTCATTGCACCAAAGCAGATTGACTGGAATGTTCTGTCCTGGTGCTGAAATCTTTCCAATGACACCTGGCTCTGATTTTTTCCTGGTTTTGGGTCTCACTTTGATCCTGTACCAAAGGTCCGAGTGCTTTGGGCTCTCCTGGAACTTCCCAGGGCCCCGATAACCTAAGATTTCTGGTTGTTGAGCAAAGAACACAAAACCCAAACCCCAACCTTGGCATGTGCTTGACTTCGGGGCTGGGTTGTTGGGAGGGTCAGCACTTTGGGGGCAGCATTTTTGTGGCAGATCAACCTTGTAATAAAAAATAAATGTAATAAAATAGATTACAGATAATAGAATATAGATCAACCTTGTAATAAAAAATAAATGTAATAAAATAGATTACAGATAATAGAATATATTATAAATATAATATAAAATATAAAAATATAGATATAAAATATAATATATTAATATAATATAAAATACAAATGGATAAATATAAAATATAATATATGAATATAATATAAAATAGATAAATATAAACTATAAAATATAGAAATAAAATATATCTAAATATAAACATAAAATATATAAACATACGCTATAAAATATAAAAATATAATATATCTAAATAGAAAATATTATAGATAATATGTATAATACAAAAATGTATATGATTATAAAAATTAATTATAATTTTATATACTATAAATATAATCTAAAATAAATCCCATCTATAAATATATAATATAAAAACGTGATGCTCCATCAGTTCAGAGAAGGCCCAAAGCCCCCACACTGTGGGTCATTGTTTGGGGTGCCCCTGCCCCAGGCAATGAACCCGTTTATTCTCCCTGGGCCCCAGGCTCCTGATTTCCAGGGGCTGACCTTCCTTGTCCTGGCAAACGCCGGGATTGTTCCTTGTCCTGGCAGACGCCGGGATTGTTCCTTGTCCTGGCAGACGCCAGGATTGTTCCTTGTCCTGGCAGACGCCGGGATTGTTCCTTGTCCTGGCAGACGCCAGGATTGTTCCTTGTCCTGGCAGACGCCGGGATTGTTCCTTGTCCTGGCAGACGCCGGGATTGTTCTCCCGGTGGGTGATTCCCGCTGGTCGGGGCTGGTTTGCTGGAGCTCTCCCTTCCCTCCTGTGCTGCTGGAGCAGGAGGAGCTGGCTCAGCCTCAGGGTGAGGGGTCAGGGAGCACTGCAGGCAGGAGCTGTTCCATGGAGGAACTCTGGATCCTCAGGGTGTGCAGGGCATGTGTTGGGAATGTGGGACACTGGATTGTCCCAGAGCAGCAGGAGAGGGCCCAGATTGATCCATTATTGTATTTGGTGATGGGATCAGGCCCAAGAACTTGGATTTCAGTGCAGAGATTACGGGATAAAGGAGCTGGGGAAGAGCAGAGGGAGAGGGAGAGCTTGGGGAGTCACCCCTGCCACAGCTCAAGCCTGGAATGGGGAGTGCAGGGGCAGCTTGGCCTGGTGGAAAAGCCCTAAAAAAATAGGGAAAGACAAGTTACTGTGTCAGGTGAAGTGTGGGCTGGTTTGTCTGTGGGGAATAATAGTAATAGTAATTAAAAATTATTTTATATGTTAATATTTTATATTTATTTACATTTTATTCATAGTATCATATTTATTTTATAAATTTTATTATATATATATATTTATGATTATTACCATCATCATCATTATTATTATTATCATCATCATCCTCTTCCAAAGGAAATCCAGAAATGGATGTTGAATTCATGGGAATCCTGACCAGAATTCCCCAATGCCCTGAGGTTTTCTCCTAATCCAGAAGCTTCCAACAATGGCACAAAAAGCACTTTGTGTTCAACAATAATCGTGTCTGGACACTCCTCCAGCTCTGTGGGATATTCCCTGGGAGCAGAGAATTCCAGGATGTGCCAGGAAAGGCTCCCTGGGCTCAATCCATGGGCAGATCCTGCTCCAGCCACAAAACCCTCAGGAGAATCCAAGGCCATTCCAGGGCAGCCCCAAACTCACCCCAAACACCTCCTGGAGAATTCCAGGGACAGGGAAACCCATCGGGAGCCAAAGCAGGGCCGAGCCACCGGCCCCCCTGAGCTGGCCCTGCTGGAGCTGGGAATGTGGGCCTGGAGCTGGGAATGTGGGCCTGGAGCGCTGGGAATGTGGGCCTGGAGCGCTGGGAATGTGGGGTGGGTGGCCTGGAGCACTGGGACTGTGGGCCTGGAGCTGGGAATGTGGTCTGGGAATGTGGGCCTGGAGCTGGAATGTGGGCCTGGAGCTGGGAATGTGGGCCTGGAGCCTGCTGGGAATGTGGGCCTGGAGCCTGGACCTGGGAATGTGGGCCTGGAGTGGGAATGTGGGCCTGGAGCGCTGGGAATGTGGGCCTGGAAATGCTGGGAATGTGGGCCTGGAGCGCTGGGAATGTGGGCCTGGAGCGCTGGGAATGTGGGCCTGGAGCTGGGAATGCCCTTGGCACTGGGGGGCTGGGATAGCCCAGGATTGGGATGTGGGATATGGGAATGAGCAGCTGGTGCCAAAGGGATCCCTGGAGAGTCCAGGGATGGGAAGGGAGCTGGGAAGGGGCTGGAGAAGCCCTGAGGGAGCTGGGGGGGCTCAGCCTGGGAAAAGGAGGATCAGGGGGGACCTTCTCCCTCCGGAATTCCCTGACAGGAGGGGGGAGCCGGGGGGGGGTCGGGCTCTGCTCCCAGGGAACAAGGGACAGGAGGAGAGGGAACGGCCTCAGGCTGTGCCAGGGGAGGGTCAGGTTGGATATTGGGGAAATTCCTGCCTGGAAAGGGCTGTAAAGCACGGGAAGGGGCTGCCCAGGGGGGTTTGGAGTCCCCACCCCCAGGGGGATTTAAAATCCCTGTGGATGTGGCCCCTGGGGACAGTTTTAGTGGTGGGGGTGGGTTGATGGTTGGACTTGATGATCTCAGAGGGCTTTTCCAACCTCAGCCATTCCATGATTCCCTCTGCTGTCCCTGTCGTGGAGCTGAGCAGAGCTCAGACCCTGTGGAGTTCACCCTGAGGGAGGAGGAAAAATGGGATCACTCCTGTGAAATTCCCACAGAATCCTGCAGGTGGAGGAGGAAAACTGTTTAATTGTGCCCAATAATTGAATCCATCAAACTGGGCTGGGTCTTTCCCTTCCCCCTGGGAAAGACAGATCCCACCTCCCCCAGGGCAGATCCCTGAGCTGCTCTGGGATTTGGAGCCATCCGTTGGGTTGATCCTGGATCTGACTGATAACATGATCCCATGGTTTTATTGGATCTGGGCAGGGAATGAGCTCCTCGAAGGGCAGCTGGAGTTGGGGGAACAGCTCCAATGAATAGCCAGGGGTCAGTGTTGCTCCAGAATTCCCCAGGAGGAGGCAGGAAGTGTCTCCAAGGCAGTTGGGCAGGAAAAGTCAATCCAATAAACTCAGCAGGGAATGCCGAGGATGGAGCTCTGAGCAGGAGTTTGGTTTAAAAACAGACACCTGACATGGGAATGGGCTCATGGAAGAGCAGGAATTCACACCTGGGGAAAGAAAAAGGGGATCCTGAACTGCAGGAGGAGATTCCACATTGGAGCAGCCCCAAGGATCCCTTTGCTCTCCTGGTTCCTGGCTCGGGAACTGGTTCCTGGGGGTTCTGGGCTCGAGCTCAGTCCTGGTTCAGCTGGGCCATCCCTGGGGCTCCTCCGCTTGGGAAACAGGGAATGTGCTCCTGCACATCCCAAAAATCCAACTGGAATTCCTTGTGTCCCTGTGGGAGCAGATCCGATGCTTTAGGAACATGCATTGTGCCTTTGGTTTGAGGTTCTCCAAGAAGGGGATTCCTGCCTTATCCAGGTCCTGGGATCCTGAGCAAGAACTCCAGGGAAAGTTTGAGGCTTTCCCAAGCATTGGAGAATATGGGGCACAAATCCTGCAGGGAATTTTCCGACCCTTCCCTGGAGCCCAGGTGGAATCACTGACTCTGGTTCTTCCAGATCCAGGTGTATCCCACTGGGATGTAGGAGGTGCTGGAAGAGGTGTGGGGGTGTCGGGAGCACCCCCAGCCTGGCTCTGGGAATGTCCCACATCCAGGAATTTGGGGCTGGAGCTGCCCATCCCTGTCCAAGCTGAGCTGGAGTCTGCAGGGCAGCTGGGAATCCTGGAATCCTGGAATGCTGGAATGGTTTGGGTTGGAAGGGACCTCAAATATCACCCCCATCTCAGAGTTCATCTTGGAGAGCTCCAAGCTTTCCCTGGATTTCCTGCTCTGGGTCCCACATGGATCAGTTTTCTGGTTCAATGGGTGTTTTCCAGCCCCAGAACTCCCGTTTTTTGAGGTCGGGAGTGTTTTCCTTGTCTGCTGGGATTGGAGGCTGTGGATTATTTCATTGAATATTTCATTGAATATTTGATATTATTATTTTAATAATAATAGTAATGATGATGATGATAATGATAATAGGAATGTTCTGTGGAGGAGGAAGAGGAGGGTGGTGCACAAACAAACCTGCCCTGGGGCTGCCCAGGGTGTTCCAAATGTGCCATAAATCCATGGATTTGTGGTGAGGGACTTGATTCCGGAGCCGTCTCCAGTGTAGGAGCTCAGTTCCTGTTGGTGGGGGACTGTTTTCCCAGGAAAACTCTTCCCCCCCAGGGCAGGGCTCGGCTCCAGCTGCCCCCAAGCCGGAGCCTTGATCCCGAGCAGTTTATCAGGACTGGGGGTCTCTGTGGCTCTCTTTGCCACAGTGTATTTTTATTTGTCATATTTGTAATTTATAAATTTAGTGATAAATATTTTAAATTTGATAAATTTATTTATAAGTAGTTTAAATTTTATTTATGAGTTTATTTATAAATTTATTTCTGTATTTAATTATAAATTTATTTATTTTATGTATTTAATTTATAAATTTCTTTATTTGTAAAGATTTTATATAAAGATTATATAAGGATTTTAAATATATATGTTTATTTATAAATTTATTTATATTATTTGTTTTTAAATTTATATATTTTGTCATTTATAAATTTATAAAGATTTTCTATAAAGATTATATAAAGATTTTAAATATATAGGTTTATTTATAAATCTATTTATAATATTCATTTTCATATTTTATTTATAAATTTATTTATAAAGATTTTAAATGTGCATTTTATTTATTTATAGTTATTTTAAATGTGTGTTTTAGTTATAAATTTATTTACAAATATTTTAAATATATAGGGTTATTTATATAGTTGCTACTTTTCATATTTTTATTTTTAAATTTATTTATAAATTTATTGATTTATAAATATTCAAATACATTTATAACTTTATTTACAAGTATTTTAAAGATATAGATTTTTATTTCTAAATTTATATATATTCTTTATTTTCATCTTTTTATTCATAAATTATTTATTTATAAATATTTAAAATATATTTGTTTATAACTTTATTTACAAATATTTTAACTACACATTTATTTATGCATTTATTTATTTATAAATGTATCGATGTGGGTCATTTTTCATGTGTGTTGCTCCCTTTCTGCTGGGCTGAACAATGAAGGGGTTCAGGGAACGGGGGGTGGTTCCCCCTGAGCGGGGTCCTGGGAGCAGCATTTCCCAAGGAACCTCCTCCTGTCCCTCCCAGGTGGAAACTTGGGATAAAATCGGCGTTTCTGCTCCTCCCAAACAGCAGAACCGACTCCAGGTGACAAAATAAATGGATTTAGTGTCACTGGGGGGCAGGGCAGGAGAGTCCTGGGCTCTGCCTGGCTGGGGATTGATTTGCTTCTTTATGAGATTTTTATTATTTATTTATTTATGGATTATTTGTTTGTTATTATTCATTTTTTATTATTTTTATTTATTAATATTATTTTATTTTCATGTGTTTATTATTTACTATTTATTATTTATTATTTAATTTATATGTATTACTTTTATTATTTCTTTATTTTCATTATTGTTTAGCATTATTCATGATATCTCTCTCATTCCAAGCAAGGAATTTCCCTCCATTCCCTCATTTCCCCAAGGAATTTCCCCCCATTCCCTCATTTCCCCAAGGAATTTCCCCCCATTCCCTCATTTCCCCAAGGAATTTCCCTCCATTCCCTCATTTCCCCAAGGAATTTCCCCCCATTCCCTCATTTCCCCAAGGAATTTCCCCCCATTCCCTCATTTCCCCAGGGAATTTCCCTCCATTCCCTCATTTCCCCAAGGAATTTCCCTCCATTCCCTCCTTTCCCCCTCACGGTTTGGGTCAAACCCTCGATTTGCTGGGTGAAGGTTCCAGTGGGTGAAGGTTCCAGGTGTATCCCCCGTTCCCATTCCTTTGTTCCCCTTTGTTTGGGGCTCGTTGACGTGTCCCCAGTCCGTGCGGATTTGGGGATCGCGGATCCTTGGGAAGCTCCTGGGAAGGGCAGAGCTCCGGGAGGGTTCCAGGTGTGTCCCCCAGTCCTGTTCCTTTCTTCCCCTTTCGTTTGTTGGAGCTCGTTGCCCCTTCAACCTGTCCCCAATCCCTGCGGATTTGGGGATCGTGGATCCTGGGGAGCTCCTGGGAAGGTTCCAGCTGTATCTCCCATTCCCATTCCCTCCTTCCCCTTTGGTTTATTTGGGCTGTTGCCCCTCGTCCTGTCCTTTACCCTGTCCCCAATCCGTGTGGATTTGGGAATGGCGGGTCTGGGAATCTCCCGGGCAGGGCGAGCTCCGGGCGGGCTCTCAGGAATTCTCTCCGGTAGATTCGATGTGACAGAGTCCGTGCTCTGCACTGTGGCCATCCAGCTGCTCTCGGGAATTCTGGGACCCTGGGTCTGGAATTGCACGGTAAAACATTCCCGGGATGTGCCGGAGGCTCGGCCGAGCGGGGACGGCACCTCTGTCATGCACTGCCCTCCCAAACCCTGGTTTGGGGGTTCCCCAGCGTTTGAGGGGTCTGCCTGGGCTCCCACGGGAGGGGAACACCAGCAGAGAATTCAAATGATCTGGAAAAAAAAGAGCAGGGAAAAATTCAGATTAACTGGAAAAAAACGAGCAGGGAAAAAATTCAAATGAACTGGAAAAAAGTTTTGTTTTTTTATTTTATTTTTAAATATTAAAAAACGAGCAGGAAAAAATTCAAATGAACTGGAAAAAAATGTATGGTTTTAATTTTTTTTTTTTTTATATTTGGTTTTTTGCTCAAAAGCTGCTTGTTCAACACAAAAGTGTGATTTAAAGGTTCCTCTTTATCCCAGTTTTGGCTTATATGTATTATAATATTTAGTGTATATGTATCTATTATATATTATTATATATAATAACATATATTTTATAGATAATATATACAACATATTATATATTATTAATAAATATTGTATATGCTGCTTTGTAATAAATATTTAAATATTTAATATTTAACACAAGGAGAAAAAATGAGCAGGGAAAAATTCAAATTAACTGGAAAAAAGGTATTTTTTAAACTATTTTTTCAGTTGTTGTTTACTCCAAAGCTGCCTGTTCAACACAAAAGGTTGATTTAAATATTCCTCCTTATTTTATCCCAGTTTTGGCTTCACCTCAAAGCCAGGCAGGAGAATCTCTCAGGGTAGGAATGGAATCATGTTGGAACTATTTAAAGCTGGAGGAACCTTTTTGTTGCTGCCATTTCAACACTTTCCCACCAGAAACAAGAACTGTTTGGCTTTTATTTTATTTTATTTTATTTTATTTATTTTATTTTATTTTATTTTATTTTATTCTTTCTTTTTCCCTTCTTTTTCCTTTCTTTTCCCTCTCTTTTCCTCCCTTTTCTTCTTTTTTATTATTATTATTATTATTATCACCATCACCATCATGATAATATTTAACATTTACACATTTAATATTATTTACATATAACATTCTTATATAGTATATTTTAATAATAATAATCACTTGGAGGAATCAGGTGCCAGAAATGCCAGGAATTTAGAAATGCTTTGCTGATAATCCCTGGAAGGCTGGGAACAGTGCGGGGAAACGGGAATTGGGCCAGGAAAGGGAGGAGAAGCTCCATCAGGATTCCAGGCTGGGACAGAACCGAGTGCCCAGGGAGCCATAAAATCCAGTCATGGGGGGATATTCCTTGGTCTGGCTGTGGGGCAGGAAGAGCTGGAATTGTGGGAGGAGAGGGAATTGCTGGAGCTGGATGAGGGGAGTTTTCCACGGGAGCAGAGCAGAGGAAAAGGTCCCACCTTGGCCATTCCAGGAGATGTTTGTCCAGTGCCTGCAGAGCCTGGGCCAGGCAGAGCATTCCCATGGAATCCTGGATGGGTTGGCTTGGAGGGACCTCAGGTCCCATCCAGTCCCATCCCTGCCCTGGGCAGGGACACCTCCCACCATCCCAGGCTGCTCCAACCTGGCCTTGGACACTCCAGGGGTGGGGCATCCTCTGGGAATTCCATCCCAGAGTCCCAGGGCCTCCCCACCCTCCTAGCCAGGAATTCCTTCCCAATATCCCATCTCTGGCAGTGGGAAGCCATTCCCTGTGTCCTGTCCCTCCATCCCTTGTCCCCAGTCCCTCTCCAGCTCTCCTGGAGCCCCTTTAGGCCCTGGAAGAGGCTCCAAGGAGACCTTGGAGCCTTCTCTTCTCCAGGGGAACATTCCCAGCTCTCCCAGCCTGGCTCCAGAGCAGAGGGGCTCCAGAATCCTGGAATCCCAGGATGGTTTGGGTGGGAAGGGACCTTAAAGCTGTGGCTGCCTCATCCCTGGAAGTGCCCAAGGCCAGGTTGGATCCCCCTGGGATGGTGGGAGGTGTCCCTGCCCAGGGCAGGGGTGGAATGGGATGGGATTTAAGGTCCAACCCAAACCAGTCTGGGATTCTGTGGATCTTCTGCTGGAAAACTGCACAACAGTTGGAAAACTGGCAATTCCTCTGCTTTCCAGTTTGTCCCAAGGCAGGGTGGAAAGAGAGGGAGACGTTTCCGTGTCTCTGCAGGAATGGGAGCCCCTGGAAGCTCTGTAGACCTTCTGCTGCCTTGGGAATTCAGGCAGGGCTGAAATGGCCTTTTACAACTCCCAGCTTTGCTACTTCCCTTGCTTTGTGTGGATTAAACCCTCGGATATTCCCGTTTCCAGCCCTTAGTTCAGCCTGGGGCAGCGTTGCACTGCCTGACCCTCCTCCCTCCTGCAGAGCTCCTGGTTGTTATTCCTCATTTAATTATTATTAATTATTTAGTGCCTGTCACTTTGCTCCGGAATCAGCATTTTCCAGCCTTATTTTCAGGTTTTTCCCAGTTTTTTCCAGCCTTGTTTTCAGGTTTTCCCAGCCCTGCCATCGGATTGTTCCATCAGGGCCCTTTGTGTGAAATGTTGAGTCAGAGCCTTTGCTTTGTCTCCATCAGCCCTTTGTTCTCCTCCTTTGCCGGAATGTTCCCGGAGATCTCAAAGCCCCATCCAGGATCTCCCAACTCCCATCCCGGATCTCAGACCCTGTCAGAGGCTCCTGTTTGTTTGTGCAGCCGCTGACAGAGCCCTGGGTTCCTTTGAAGGGTTTGGGACCTGCTTTCCTTGTGTCCCCTGAGGAACTGCCCCAGGAAACTTCCCATCCCTCTGTTGTGGCGTGGGAATGCCTTGGGAGAAGAGATTGTTTCCTTTGCCCCGTTTTCATGGATCTGGATGTCCCAGGTGTTTGGGCAGCGTGGACAGGACGGGTTTGGTCGGGAAACATCAGGCACAGAACCCAGGCAGGGAGGAGGAAGTGGCTGAAAATATCCCCCTTCCTAAAAATAACCCAGTTCTGAGGCTTCTCCTGGCATTCCTGCTCTTCCCACCTGGATCCTGGGATGCAGGATTGAAATGAGGGGGAATAGAGACAGACACAGGGAGAGGAGAGCAGCTTGGAGCTGGCTCCTTCCCTCCTTGCCTGGAAATCCCTTTGCTGTCCCGCGGGTCCGTGGGCGTCACTAATGTGATGGCAGGAATTAAACCAGGCACTGAATGTAGGACCAGGGGCCTTTCTCTGCTTCCTGCTTTTCTTTCCCTGATTTTTTGACTCGGATTTGCTCAATGAGCCACAGCTCCAGGGGTTTGTTCTCCAGCCCTGATCATGGAAGGGCCACTCCAGCCTTTTGTGCCACAGTGGGGCAGGAACAGGGTCACTGCTCAGCACAGCCTGTCCCAGGCACTGCAGCCCTCCCAAAGCCAGGCTCGAGTCATCTCCATCCAAAGCCAGGCTTTAGCCAAGCTCCATCCAAAGCCAGGCTTTAGCCAAGCTCCATCCAAACTGAGCGAGTGCTTTCCCTGCTTTTCCCTTCCCATTTTCCTGGGAGCTTCCCAGTTTAGAACCAGCCCAGTGACTGAGGCAATGTATGGGTTTTTGCGTAAGCCCAGCTCAGTTAATCCTGCAGCAGAGCATTAATCCCGAGTTAACCACTGAGGAGGAGGCCGGAATTCCGGGTTGAGCTTTCCCGGCCGTGCCTTTGCTCAGGATCCCCCTTGGCAAAGCTGTGGTTGCTTTGTTTTATAATCCCATTTTTCCACTTAGTTTCGATTTTAAGGACTTTTTTAGTCCCTGTTTAGGACTTTTGGGAACACTGGTGCCAATCCAGTGTCTTTTGGGTGGCAAAATTTGTGGCTTTTTGGGAATTCATTCCCGTTTATTCCTCCCTTTGCTCCCTGTATCCACCTGTACCTGCACAGACATGGAGTCAGGTTGGGTCGTGTGGCTTCCAGAGGTTTCCAGACCTTCCCCACCTTCCCTCAGGGCTTCCATCATTCCTGAGGCCACACAAAGAGCACCAGGAAAACTGGGAATTGGGACAGGGACTCCTTGGGGGGGCGGGAGAGGTGTTTTAGCCAAGGCCCAGCTGGAGGCAGGGGAGTGTGGGGCTGGAACGGGATCCAGCTGCCCTGGAGTCTTCCCTTCTCCAGGGGAACATTCCCAGCTCTCCCAGCCTGGCTCCAGAGCAGAGGGGCTCCAGAATCCTGAATCCCAGGTTGGTTTGGGTGGGAAGGGACCTTCAATCCCATCCAGTCCCAGCCCTGCCCTGGGCAGGATCCATGGATTTTTCACAGATATTGGGAAAGTTCAGCCAAAGCTGTTGGAGGAAAACTGGGAGAAGACTCCAATGAAAGGAGAGATTCCTTCCAATGTCTTTCTGCTGGGAAGGAATTCCTCCCTGGGAGGGTGGGGAGGGGCTGGGATGGAATTCCCAGAGGATGCCCCATCCCTGGGCATGCCCAAGGCCAGGTTGGATCCCCCTGGGATGGTGGGAGCTGTCCCTGCCCGGGGCAGGGGGGAATCAAAGGATCTTTGAGGTCCCTCCAGCCCAAAGCACTCCCAGATTCCCTGATCCCGGTGTGTGGGATGGACATGGAGCTGTTCCAACCCAAAGCACTCCCAGATTCCCTGATCCCGGTGTGTGGGATGGACATGGAGCTGTTCCAACCCAAAGCACTCCCAGATTCCCTGATCCCGGTGTGTGGGATGGACATGGAGCTGTTCCAGCCCAAAGCACTCCCAGATTCCCTGATCCCGGTGTGTGGGATGGACATGGAGCTGTTCCAGCCCAAAGCACTCCCAGATTCCCTGATCCCGGTGTGTGGGATGGACATGGAGCTGTTCCAGCCCAAAGCACTCCCAGATTCCATGATCCACAGGACAGCAGGAGGGGCATCAAAGCCCTTGTTGCCCTTCCCTTGTCCCTGCTCTGGGGGATATTCCAGACATCCCAAATAGTCTGTATGGGATTTGGCCGCAGCCTCGGGACTGTCCCTCCTGCTCCTGGTTCTGCTGCTGAAACCAAATTATTTTTGCCCCAAAGCCCCGCGTTTTGGCCAGGCTGGAGATCCCCAAATGAGAGAAT